GGTCACCCGGTCGGTCACCCGGCCACCCGGTCACCCGCTGTGAGCGCTTTGGCGCCCAGGCCGCACCGGCCGCCTCCCCAAAGATGAGCCTCGCGGAGCTGACGGAGCTGAGTTTAGCGGCGGTCCACGGGGGAAAAATGTGATCTTACCCTCGGTATGGGCTGTATGGGCTTGCAACTAGGTCCTCCAGCTTAGAGAGGTTAGAATAAGGGTACCATATTTTTTCTGTGGTCTAGTTTACTACCAAAAAAAAAGAACTCCCCCCAAAAAGGGGAAAAAGGGCACTACTGGTGGACCTAGCCTTGGGATGGGTTTGCAACAAAATGTTTGTTTTTTTGCGGCCCCCCAAACAATGAACACAACCAAACAACTAAAAAAAACATGCCAAGAAAAATGAAGTGATGCATCCTTTTGTGGTGGAGTTGAATGAGGAACCCTCCCAAAGTGTCGATTCCTCGTTTGGTGGAGTTTAACTAACATGTCCTTGTACAACTCCCGGTAACTCCGAACCGCGCCCTCTTTATATCGGCAAACATTTGGATACCCCTAGTTCAAGGGGAACCCTTCCTAGGTCCTCCCGTACAGAGGTTAGAATCAGGGCGCCCTTTTTTTCTGTAGTCTATTTTAGTAGGGGAACTCTCCCCCCAAAAAAGGTAAAAGAGGAAGTTGAACAAAGGGTGGAATGCATTGGGAAACTGCGGTTGTTTGCCCCTGAAATTTAACTGGTGGCATTGGTGTTTCTAGGGGGTATCAAGGTCAGAAACTGGTTGATGGATTTTCTTGGTGTGGTTTTACAGGGATCCAAGAAGGGACAATGCACCATATTCTTAATTTAAGACACGCACACATGGCGTGGAGCCCGGTGAGGTGTTCCGGGGATGGGGTTTCAACCCCAAGATGCCCAGAACCAGGGCGAGATCCGAATCCAAATCCAAACCACCCACTGAGGGTTGCCTGAGAACGGGTGGGGGGGGTTCACTGCAGGTTCCCCTCATTTCAAGGAAATACACAGGATGACATACACAACACCGCAGTTGTGGAGGAATCTCCTTGTCAGGTGTCAGGTAAATTTGCCGGGGGCTACTTGGATGTTCGATTCGCCCGCTTGCGTGGTTTCCCAGGTTGACAGGGCCAGGAGATCGTTGAATGTGGGTTGTAACCCAGGTTCCCAATAACTTACCATGCCCCAAGAACAAATGTGGAGTACTTTCGAAGTCTGGTTGTTGTATAGGACTACATTTTTTCTGAGGGGGCATTTCAACCATGTAAGCTAAAAAAACGTGTGCCAGAAAATGGAAGGCTGGCACTGGTGGCAAGTTTGGGTGCTGCCCAGGTGTGTAGCAAACCACACCAAGAATGCGCTTTTTTTTTTGCATTTGACCTGGTCCTGGCTAGGACTCGCCTGGCGAATCCACTGGTAGGGGCCCAGGAACCAAAAGGTCAACGGAAGGACCCCCACCCCACAAAACGAGTCTCCCCCCAAAAAGTCCAAAGTCCGCAACGGAGCTCAGAGAATTAAAAGCCGAGGTGTCCTGTTGGTAGAATAGATGAGCTTGCCTGGCATCAAAACCACCTAAACCAGTGTGTTTAACCAACCCAACAACTTGCTGGTTCTCAGCAAGTTGTTAAGGGAATGACCCCTATAAACCATCCCCTATGGCTTCCTAAAACGGAATCCCTAGGTTCATCATTCCCAACACCCTGGATCATTCCCTATTGAGCACCAGCAAGAAAAAAGGACACCTATATATGGTGTAACAGGAATCCTTACATTATCACCTGAACATTGCCTTGTAAATGGCGGTGTCCATTTACTTTGGTGGAAAAAGCCATGTTTCAGGGCAAAATGTATCTTTTAAGGAGCCCTGCTTAAAGGTCTACCTCTCTTCCGAGAGCGCCGACCAATCCAGCACCCCAACAGAGATCAAGCCGGTCGATCCGGTCGATCCAGGCATGGGTCGATCGATCCGGTGGATGCGCTTATGCAAGTGCAAAGGCATGCAGAGGCACTCCGGTCCCTGGACCACCCCAAAAACTGACGGATGTGTCTGTGTCATGGTCCCTCTCAAAAGCACCCATGGCCAGTCCCAACCACTGCCTCGCTTGCTTGGATTGGCCAAAAAAGTCTGAACTTGTTATTTACCAATGGTCTTCCCAAAAAGTGACAAAAGTCCAGGAACTCAGAGAAATCATCTGCTTCTTGGCTGGGATGTTTGAGGAACAAGTTGGGCCCGTGTCGCGCACGCCTGGCAATGCCGTCCCGGAGGATGCCGCCGCCTGGGTCGAAACCGAGCCGACGGACATGCCGTGAGGTCCCAACAAGCCTGAGTTGAGTTCACACACGTTTTCGGGATGCCGCTTTGGACCCCCTCAACCCGAACATGTTACAAGTCCCCAAGCTGAAATGCAGCTTAAATTAATGGGAACAGGGTCGCAAAGGAGGGTGTTAGAACCTCTCATGCTCACCTAAAACCCCAAATGGAACAGAAGCAATAGAACAAAACAATATATATATATAAGAAACACCCAAACAAGACACAAGCACTAAACTGGCCTTCCCAAGCACTCCTCAATCCAGGAACTCGGGATTCGAGTTGAACCAACCCCAAACAGGGTTCCCTTCAAAAAAACACATGTCCAAATGGGGAAAAAGCAACCGCCCTTCTGGGGGTGGCAACTTTTGCTAGTCTGGAGCTCCCAGAAGAAGCCATGCGACAATCTTGCATCCACACCAGAGCTGCCCGGTGGCGTTGGTCGATGCGTCCGAGTTTGCCCCATGATGCGAGAGAATGGGTTTGAGCTCCTCCGGAATGCCTTTGCCTTTGTCTGCGTTGGGTTTCTTTGAAGACGTCTGCCCAGGAGCGCTTGCTTCTGCAGGTTGCTTTCCGCCCCTAGTTAAGCCAGATGAGAGCACTGGAGCAAGGAAGACCATATTTCAAGGATCACAACTCTTCTCTCTCTTTGACCATTTTTGGTGGGTCCCGAACCCACCAAACACAAATAACACAAATGGCCATGGGTCAAAATCCCACCCCTCGTGAACATCCCAATCCCTAAAATGGGTGGTGCACCTACCCCCAAAATGGGATCGACTCACAGCCAAATAACACAGATGAAGGCAGGATCAAAAGTAGGGGTGCAGGCCAGGGCCAATGCTAGCAAACAGGCACCCCCAAGTAGAAACCTAGGCCCTCCAGTAGAGGGGTTGGAATAAGGGTGCCCGATTGTTTTCTGTCCCTCTCAACCAAAAAAAAAAGTTGGTGAGAAAGAAAGGGCACCTGGCTGGGGGAGCTAGCCCTTAAGTAGAAACACAAATCCTTGCCTAGTGGTCGAGTATGGGTCGTTCTTTTGAAAAAAACACTCGGCGCCCGCAGTTCATCGAAGCGCGCAGCTCTGCCGAGTGGCCGAAGCTGTACATGTAGGTGGCTACGAAGGAGGCTGCCACCCTGCAATGCCAAAAACACAACGCGAGAGGAGAGGATAAGGGGGTGGAGGGGTCGGGGGTGGGGGGTTGGGGGGTGGGGGAAGAGAGAATTAGAATGAAGAATCCAGATGACATGATATCCCTTCCTATGTCATCTCTTCCTAGTTCTCATGTCTCTCTTCTTCCTTTCCCATCGACTAGACAGCGAAAGCGCAGAGTGGAGAGGCAGAGGAAGAGGCGAGAGGAGTGGAATTTGCCAAAATAACTTCGGCTTGGAGCTGACGCCCAACTTACTTGGAGCTGGAATTTGGGTGTTTCCCCCCCCCCCCCGTTTTTCGGGGGACCCCCCCCCAAATTGGTGGATTTCTTTTTGGTCCTCCTTTCCCACCACAAAAGGAGGTCATTATACCAACTCCGAAAAGACACCACCATCTCAGGAACTTCTCGGCACTGGCTGAATTGCAACCAGCGGCAACCAGCCAGGGGACTTGCCCCTTGCGATATGCTTAAACCGCCCACTCTCCTTTTAGTGGATCCCAGGTAGCCCCGGCTGTCCACAAAAGACCTCAGTGAAGGTTCGAGCTGGGAATATTGACTAGGTCCTCCAGTGGAGAGGTTAGAATAAGGGTACCGTTTCTTTTTTCTGTCGCTGATAGAAGGAGTAGGCAACCAGCCATTTTGCTCTTGGTTTTCGAAAGCTTTTGGCTACCTACTATACAGGGAGATACAGGGAGGTTTGGCAGGGTACGGCTCTTTACAACGGAATGTGGCCTTGCCAAGGAGCCCCTCCATCCATTTCCCGCCTGAGCCACACATTGCTCACCTCCCGGCTGTCCACAAAAGACCTTAGTGTTGCAATCCGTTTGCGGTAACGCCTGTCTTCTGCTTAAAACAATACCAAAGCCAGTAGCTCCCCGCCAAAATCCCGCGGAGCTGCCATGCTGGGGCCCTGGGGGCGTGTGTGGGAGTAGATCCATGGAGCGATCGGAACCCAACAATGCCCCCAATTCAATCAAACAGGGCTCCCTATATTTCCCCTTAAAACATCACCCCCACCAAGCGACACTCACCTTTCGTGGGCCAAAAAGGTGATGTTTAAAACCACCAAAAGGAGAAATATAGGGACCCCTGCCAAATGGGGAATGTTGCAAGCCACTCAAACTTGCTGTTGTGGCTTCCCTGGGAGGTCTTGTGGGGTGGGTCTGTCTTTTTCTAGGGGACCCCCCCAAATTGGTGGGTTTTCCTGTAAGCCAGGTCTCTCCGCGATCGGTCTGTGGCCGAAGACCTAAGGTTGGGATCTTTGCGCGAAGGCCAGGGGAACGTGGGGGTTGCCGAATATTCCAAATGACCATGAACAACTGCTTCCTGGCAACTATCATCTCTTTAGCGGTTCCCCCGATAGTCGTTGTACGTAAACTTCCATTTCCTTAAGCCCCCTGGAGAAAAAAATATGTCCAGCAGTGATCGCTTCCTTTTAAAACCCACAGGGGGAAATACAAAATATTCTTAAACAAATGGAAGTAAAGCGAGGAGTACAGGACCTTTTGATCCACCCACCTCTGCCGGTAGCTCCTTTTTGCGCCTTTGCGCGCTCGGCGGTCTGTTCGCCTGGCTGACCGCGACCGGCTGCACGGGAAGTTGTTCGAAAGTGAGGGTGCGGAAGTGGGTGGTTGCCCGGTCCCTTGAAAAGGCAATGGCTCCTTTCGTCGCTGATGTGAAACTTTTTGGCGGCTGCGGAGGGCCAGGGGTTGCGCCAACCGTCATGTCCAACTTGCAAACTTGACCGATCCTAGGTCCTCCAGTAGAGAGGTTAGAATAAAACCACCTTTTCTTGTCAGTAGTCTATTTTAGTAGAACCCTCCCAATCAAAAAAAAAGGTGAGAAAGGGCACCTAGCTGGGGGACCTAGGATCTGTGGCAGAAGGTGCAACAACCTTTTTTTGGGGTACGAGCAGGCCAGCGAAAACCAAGGGGGTGAGAATATGACCATTGTCTACCGCGCGCTCAGGAGCTTCATCATCCAAGTTGGCTCCCAAGGCCGTTCGTTTGCAATGGGAATTGGTGGAACCCTAGGGTCTGGTTGTTAAATAGAAACCTCCACTAAAGCCAAACGGACAACTGACAACCCAAGGGACCGGAGTCACTTCGCGGTGCAACCTGGTTGTTGAACTTTAGGGTTCATGGTTCCATTGGAACCCAAAAGGGCCACTGCAAGGGAAGGATGACCCCTCCGGTGTTTTGGTCAACCATGTTTTCTTGGCACCCTAGCTAGGTCCTCCAGTAGAAAGGGTGGAATAAGGGTACCTTTTTGTCTGTATAGTCTAGTAAATTTTAGTAGGGAACCCTCCCAACCAAAAAAGGGTAAAAGGGCACTACGGGGGGACCTGGTAAAACTTCCTACCTTGGCCGAACACCCAACGATGGTCCTATGACCAAGCTCCCAGCAAAAGGGCCAACCTCACAGGGGTTCCATGATAGACCCCTACTCAGTTGAGTTTATCAAACTACTTGAGCTCTCAAAATCTGGATACGGAATCCCCACGCAAATGCCTTCGCAATACTAAAGTAGAATTGGCAATGCTAAAGTAAGTACTGTCCCTCCCGCTGACTGGTTCCACTCCTAGCGAGGGGGAGGGGGGGTAAAGAGGGTCCAACACTAAAAGGGCACTTCTGGGGGACCTAGTTGAGCAACCCCCACGTTGCCCTAGGCCCCAAGATATCGGTCACAGACCGAATGGGTTCAAAGGACCGGCGTCGTCGGCCCGGCCCGGCCTTCTGATCTACTGCCTGCGCAGCCTCGCCGCAGCCTGGCGCCGCGCGCGCAGCACCAGCCTAGCCGAGCTAGGCTGCTTCGAGCTTCGCACCCGGCGAGGCGCGAGGCGCCAGCAAAAACCCCTCGGTTTTCATGAGGGGGCGGAGTTCTTTTGAGTGGGAATTGGTTTCTTCCTTTGAACTCGGGTGCTGTAGATCCAGCAAAAGTCAACTTTTTGCTGGTTAAAAGGAAATAAGAGGGGAATCCAAAACGTTGAAGTCTAAAGATCCAACCCAACAGCAGTAGAGCTTGGAAACCCTTGGGTTAGTGATTGGGGAAATACTTCCTTTCCAACCCTTGTTGTGTTTTTGACAGCCCCTTGCAAAAAATGCACGGCACCAGGGGTTCTTTTTTGCGTGAGTTCGTTTCTTCCAGGGCAACCCCGATCACTAGTCGGAAATGAACCTACCCCGCAAGACATGCAATCCAAAAAGGGGTTCCCCGAAGGGCAGGCCCAAACCCAAGTGACGAAAGTCCATGAATCAGGAGCTTCTTCTCCATGCAGAAAAAAAAGACAAGCTAGCTTTTCTTGGTTGCTGCCGACCATTCTGCAAAAAGTGAATAACTTTTGGTGGGCTTAGTGGCAAACCCCTTGATTTTCCAAAAAGCTAAAGTCTAAAGATCCAACCCAATAGCAGTCAAGTTTTGTGGTGCAAGATAGTGGGTCCCCCATGTCCTGAACCGCCAATTGAGCATAGACCAAATATATTTTCTCACTTCCTGAGTGGAGGGAAGCCAACCGCAAACCTCCCATTGGTTGGGTTCGCCTATTTTGACACACCCATGAAGAATCTCACATCCACCTTTTCCCTCTGAGGAAGTTGAACAAACATGTGGACTACTTCTCACCCAATTGAGGTTCGGTGATACTCACTCCCGTTCGAGTTCCTGGGCTGCCTCAAACAAAATGACACTCCCATTTCTAACGGCTGGTCTTTCTCTCCACCACTGTTTCAATTGGGCAAAAGGTATCCTCTATTGACCCCTCCCAACCCACAAAAAGGGTGAGAAAGGGCACTGCTGCGGGACCTAGACGCTTCCCCTCCCCGCAAAAAAACGGAACAAACTTTCGAGGCACTGCTGCCAGCGCAGGCTCTCGGAATCGCCTTGGATTCGCACGGGATCGTGCGGAATTTCTCTAGGGATACCTTCCCCATTCTTTCCAGGGATCCTTCTTTCTAGAAAACCTCCGGAAACCCAGGGAAAACGGCTGGTTTTTGAACAGAACGATGGTTGAAAAGAATGGGGAATCAACCCCAAGAATTTCAATTTCAATGTTGACCTCGGATCTCCCCCTACCTTACGAGGGAGGGGGTGGGGGCCAGTAGTAGGGGGGTGTTCCCTCCAAAAGTGGTTTCAATCCCCACCAACAGGAATTGGACACCCCCAATTAAAAACAACCCGGGGTTTAGCTTCATCCGGGGGGAACTGCTATTTTAGACTAGGTCCTCTAGTAGAGAGGTTAGAAGGTTAGAAGAAGGGTACCCTTTCTTCTGTAGTCTGTTTTTAGTAAGGGAACCCCCAACCACAAAAGGGGAAAAAGAGCGGGCACCCAGCTTGGGGACCTAGTAGAGAGGAGTTCCCTGACTAGAGAGCCAAAGCTTACCTGAAAACACCACGCTGCAAATCAACCTGTGGATTGCGACTATTTCCCCTTAAGAGTGAACCCACCTCTTCCATGTGCTTAAGCCCCCTGAAGAAAAAACAAAAAACAATCCAGTAGTGAACGAGTCCTTTTAAAACCAACAGGGGAAAAGAAAAAGTATCGAAAAACAAATGGAAGACTTCTCCAGAATCAAATGGGACCCCATAGTGCTGTACGATTCCGAGACCGCAAAAACAAAACAAAACATTGATCGAGATATTGGTGAACTCGTTCTACCCTCAGGTGAGCTCGCACGGCCAGACGGCCAGATGTATCCTCGGTTGCTTTCTGCTCCCCTGCTAAAAGTTTAACTAGTAGTGGTTTGATTCGGAAAACCCAGTAGTTGGCAAACAGTTAAAGTCCTAACATCCAAGCAAAATGCACCAAAGTATCAACCAGGGTTGCTAACTCAACAGAGTTTCCAACATTTCCTCTTTTCACATCTGGGTAAATTACATGCCTTGGATGGTCTGCTTGGATGTGCGGCCACGTTAGTAAGCGTTTCGCCACCTGTGTTGTCACTTTTAGCCCACAATAAGGTCAAATCTACTTGGGGTAACTTCTCAGCGGCTTGTAAAACTTCCTAACTTGGCCGAACCCCAACGATGGTCCCATGACCAAGCTCCCAACAAAAGGGCCAACCTCGCAGGGGGTCCATGATAGACCCACACATCAAACTACTCGAGCTCTCAGCGAAAGACTCTTGCAACGACCTTGTTCTTACAGAACAGGTGGCTCCACTCCAAAAGGCGCCCTCTTCAAACGCAAGTTTGGATACTTGGATACCGCCAGCCCCGGAATCGCTCCCTTCCGACCACCCCTTGCCCGAAACGGCAAGGAAACCGCTCGCCATAAAACAGAACCTCGCAGGAGCTGAAAGGAGCTGGAAATAAGATGTGATCACCTTTCAGGGCCATGACGAAAAAAGAACTCAAAAGGGGAAAACAAAGGGTCGCTTGATCCGGTCGTTTCGACTTGGTTGCAAGCGAGCTCTCTATTTCCGGTAGTGATCTAGTCCCTGTAAAACAACCAAGCGAAGACTATCTAGGTCCTCCAGTAGAGAGGTTAGAATAAGGGTACCCTTTTTCTGTAGTCCATTTTAGTAGGGGAACCCTCCCCCAAAAAAGGGGCGAGAAAGGGCACTACTGGGGGACCAGTAACAATCATTAACATCGTTTTATCAAATGAAAAACCAACCAGAGCCTGTTGCAGTGCTCATCAATGGATACAATTCTCGGTTGCTTTCTGCTCCCCTGCTAAAAGTTTAACTTTTAGTGGTTTAGTGGAAAACCCATTCGTTGGCAAAAGTTCTCAAGTCCTAACAGCCCCTGGCAAAATGCACCAAAGAATTGGTTTCAGCAAATGAAAAACCGTGGGTTCCCAAGGCCAACTGCACGCCAGCTAGCGATGGTCAGACCGTCTCCTCTTGACGCTGCCCAGCGCCTGCCGCAGCGCCCGAGTGGCCGAGCTGGGCACAACATGGGTGGGGGGGGGGCCAAATGACGAACAGATTGCTCCAATGATCCTTGCACCTTTGTGTTGGTTTCAAAGTACCAAGCCAACAAATTCTGGTGGTTTTTGTTTGAATGGAAACACAACGGAACATGGAAGACTCCAACCCCCCCTTATCACACGCACACAGAGACGCGCCCACGTGTTGAAACCCATCCATCGATCCACCCTCCTTCCCTCCTTCCCTCCCTGCCTTTCGGTGAGAGCCGCCTTGCGGAGGGCGGAAATTGAAACGGCATCTCTCTAGGGGTTGCTTTCCCATTATGTTTAACCGTCCTTCTTTTGTTTTCTTCTTTTTTTTTAAAAAAAAAGGGAAACACACGATCGCTGTTTTTTTTCTTTTGGGGGTTCTGATGGTTTTCTGGAAAGATTCGGATCCCTGGAAAGAAGTCAGCATGGAAGTGTCCCCTAGAATCGCTCACACATTTGGTGCCGCCAACGTCAGGTAAGTAGGCGATGACCATGCTTATAACTGGTGCAACTGGTGTGGCCGTCCCCTTAGAACCATGGAAAATGTGCCACTTACGGCATATTGGTCTGTGTCTTTTCGAGTTTGTACCTCTTCTTTCGTGGCTGCAAAGGGAAACCAAGAGGGAAAACCGAAGCCTTGTTTTGTGCCAGGGTGGGGGGGCCCTGCAACACAGGCATTGGGCCAACTGCAGAGTCTCATGTTTTGTTTCCAGTTCGAGACAAAGCCCAAAGCCCATCTCGGATTGGGTTGGACTTTTCCGGTCAGCTGGACCATGGAGACACAGTCTGAACTAATGGAGAGAGCGGAGCCGAGCGGTGGTCGTCGCCGCAAAACTGGCAACGATGGTCAGGTCGCCCCAGGCTACAGGCACGATCAGTATGTTCGGACTGTTAGGGACACGCGGCTCCAGTATTGGGTTCATCGCATGTTCAGGATGCGCAGCTTGAAGTGATTCAAACTAGGATTTGAGGCTTTGAAGTTAGTGGGATTCCACGTTTTGAACCAGAGCCCAGGATTAAATCACATCGATTTCAAGGGTTGATTGAACATCCTCCTCATTTCCCCGGAACCCAACAAACCACGAGTTGTAGAGGAAACTCCTTTTGGGAAGTTGACCCCCAAGAAGATGGGCTCTTTCCACTTTGAGTTCCCGCTCCCCGCTCCGCTGTCACATAGTCTTGGAGTGCGTAACTGTGCGTAACCCAAGTTTGCAATTTTGTTTGGTTTCATTTGGGCAAGTGCTATCCATTCTGCACCTACGTGGAAGTGTGGGGGCTGCGCCTGCGTGAGTCGTTTCGCCTCGAGCTGAGCTCAGTTTTCGTGTAGATCCTTTGCGGATGGTGGTGCCTCCGCAGACCTGCCCATACTTTGGAGGAACGATTCGTGTTTCGCTTTGCCTCCAAGGAACCTAGAGCAAACAAAAGCTGGATTGAAAACACCTTCAACAACTAGGTCCTCCAGATTTGAGAGGATAGAATAAGGGTACCCTTTTTTTTCCGTAGTCTATTTTTGGTGGGGGAGCCCTCCCCCCAAAAAAGGGGTGAGAAAGGGCACCTAGCTGGGGGACCTAGGCATGAGCATCACCAGGAAACGGATTTGCAATGGGGCCAAGAGGCAATGGCTCATACCAACCAAAAGGAGCACATGCGCATGTTCTCTTTTTGTGAGGGGATGCCAACATGTTTTGCTGGATTGAAAGGAAAGCCCAGAGGAAAGCCAGAATTGTATTTTATTTCATTTGGGGTCTTTCCTAAAGGACACACCCTATGGAAAAAAACATGCAAACCGCCTTGCTTATTTTTGGCTTTTGGCCCGGCCTGGGCACTTGCTTGAAAGGAAAACTGCCGGAAACAACCCACAGGCAAAAAGTTTATATATAAATAAATAAAAAACGCAAGCTAGGTCTGGCAATGTAAAGTCGAAGGATTTTCTTGGAAAGTGGGTGAGGAGCTGATGGTCTCTGGGCCGGGCTCCGACATGCATGTTTGCCCGAAAGCGAGCGTGTGGCGTGTTGAAGGGGAAAGTGATGGATACCAAACCAAACGGTAAATGTGAAACGGCCGCCTCTCCAAACCACGCTCCAGCTTCACAACCCTCGGTATGGTAGCAAAAAAAACAGCCCCCCTACTCAAATGAACAGAACCAAAAACTAAAACACTAAAACAAAAACATGCCAAGAACAGTGAAGTCCAAGCCACCTAGACTAGGTCCTCCAGAGAGAGAGAGGTTAGAATACGGGTACCATTTCTTTTTTCTGTAGTCTATTTTAGCAGGGGAACCCGCCCCAAAAAAAGGGTAAAAGGGCACTACTGGGGGACCTAGCCAAGAACAGTGAAGTCCAAGCCACCTAGAGGGAAGCTCACCCCTAACCCACCCCCGAAAGTTCCACCCCAAAACTCGAAACTCGACAGTCACTCGCCTCTTTGATGGCTGCCCTCTGACCTCCCAGCTCGGACAATTCGTTTTCGTTGGGACTGGGAAGAGATTCAGATTCTATCATGGAGCCCAAGGTGCAGGACGAATAATCTATATAAATATATATGTATAAAAATAATAGGCGATACCCTCTTGGTTGACCACTAATATGGTCGAAGCTAAGGACGAATAAAATATCAAGAACAAAAACCATTTGGTGGTCGAACTGAAAAAGTGATTACAGTCGAGGAACTCAACTCAGGATGTGAAGAAAACGGGGGTGAGCTTGCTACCATCCAACTAGAACTCCGATCGGTAGCTCTGAAAGGCTCCGTCTTCAAAGGCAAATTTCCCCCCCCCCCCCCGCTCCTTAATCCGGCTCCCTTCCAACCACTAGCTAGCATCCTGCACATTGAAACCATGGTTGCAACCGTTGTTTCTTGGTGTTTGCGTTGGAAACGATGTTCATCCGCGCATCCGCTCCCTGTCACAGCTAGTCGTTCATAGTCAGCCTGTGACATGGAACCATGTCGGCGGAGTCTTTGCGCCCCTGAAGACCCATTTCCAGGAAAACATGGGGGGCACATCCTGGTCTCACTTCCGTTGCTTCATTCGCCAACAACAAGTCGAAACTCGACATTTGCCACTAGAATGCCCTCCCCAGCAAGTGACGTTTGCAAAGATAGGAATCAGGTAACCCGTCAGGTGGTTTGGTTTGTGGAGTCCTTGGTTCTTGTAGAGGGTAATTAGAAAACCCCTCCTAGGTCCCCCAGTACTTAGTAGGGGAACCCTCCCTCAAAAAAGGGTGAGAAAGGGCACTACTGGGGGACCTAGCCTCTTAACCACCGAACCACCTAAGTGTAATCCGAAAAGTAAGAGTACCCTTTTTTCTGTAGTCATTTTAATAGGGAATCCTCCCCCCAAAAAAGGGGTAGAAGGGCACCTAGCTGGGGGTGCCCAAGACACCCGAAAAGGACACCTATGAATGCAACAAGCGCGCCCTTTTTTGTTGGTTGAGTTTCAAGGGGAACCCAAAGAGTGAGTAGTAAACCCTTTTTTCCGGCCCAACCCGAGGCAAAAAGGGGAGTGAGTCCCCTAACCCTTTGACCGCCCCTTCGCCCGGCCGAGCCAATGAGCCCGTCCCGAGCGCCCGGCAGAAGCTGCACCTGGCTCTGCAGGGCCAGCAGCGCGGTGCTGTCCTCGCAGGTCCTCAGATTCGAAATCCCAAGGGACCAATCAAATCCCAAGGGAGTGACTTGGGGGAAGCACGAGAACAGACATGAAGTATTGATCAACCTGTATATCTGTATTATATATTTATATATGTATATATAAATTCTATATGTAGTTGGATCTTCGCTTGGTGGCTACACCGACCCCTCTGCAAAACACAGGAGATTAGCATGGGAAAAGTTACCCACGGTCAAAGCCGGGCGGCCCTAAATGGAATATGTTGATCAATCTATATATACTAGGCTGGAATTAGAACCCCTGCAAAAACATACCTGGTTAGTGGAAAACAAAGGGAACCCCAAAAAAGCAAAAAAGCAAAAAGGGGAGCTTATTCTGGGGAAGAATATATATATATATATGTATAAATATGTAGTTGATCTTATCTTGTTTGCTATACCGACCCCTCTCCAAAAAGTGTTTCAACTTTGTGTGGGTCTCCTTTGGAAAGTCCTTTTTGTTTCAACCAACAAGTTGAAGTCCAAAGATCCTACCAAGCGGTAAGTGTGAGCGAGGGCTCCCTTTACTATGCCTCCTGTATCCCACTTCCGATCGAGTGGATTTGCAAGAGAAAGTACCAAACCTTGGCATTTACCACTAAAATCGACGTCCCAAAATGTTAAATGTGTAGGAACTCAGGGAGTGAGTTTCGCCTCGGTCACAGGGTGAACACGTTCATGTCATTCGGGGAGGCGTCCAAGATCAGCCACCCATGTTGAGCCCAGATGGCCATGGGTCAAAACCCAAAGCCCGTACCCCCAGTGAACGGGACCCAATCCAACCACTAAAATCTGTTCTCAAATGGGTGGTGAATTCTGAACATCCCAATCCCCACTAAAATAGACTAACATGGGTGGTGAATTCACCTACCCCAATATGAGATCCCATTGGTTTTGACCCGCAGCCATACTAGTCCTCAGGAAATGGTTGGCAAGGCAGCCTGAAAGCGGACCTTGTCTGATCTGACTTGACCATCCGGCCAGAAAAGTTGAAACTTGTTGCTCACATGCCCAAAGGACCTGGAAACAAAGGTTAACCATTTGGCACCTCTGAAGGTCAAAACGAAGACCAAACGAAGGTCAAAAGGTCAATTCGCTTTGGGCAAGTGAGACTCAGTTGTTCAGTGACCCTGGAAAAAAAAGGGAACCAGCTTTTGGGAAGACAGTTTTTAGTGGGCAGCCACCAAAAAAAAAAGTGCCACTGAACAACTGAGGAGAAATAGACAACTGCAATTTTCCATTCTGGTGGTCCTTCGCAGAAAACGGCGCGAGAAAGACCTCTGAATGTGGAGTGGTATGGTAGAAGTCTGAGACGCCCAAGCCGCGTGCCCTTGCCGACAATTGGAACACAATACAAATACCTCCATTTGCTTAAGCCCCCCGGGGAAAACCAAAAAAACTTCAGCCAATGGAAGAATATGTTGACACCAGAAAGAATGGATCCCCAGGAATCCGCACCACCCGTGGGTAACATGGCAGAAACGTGGTAAACACCTCGCCCAAGCTGACTTTTCAGTCAATGGAACTCGGCCATGCAATTTGAAATGGCATGCAATACATGAAGATTCTAGGGGGTACCTTCCCCATTCTTTCAGGGATCCTTCTTTCTAGAAAACCTCCAGAATCACAGGGAAAACGGCTGGTTTTTGAACAGAACGATAGTTGAAAAGCATGGGGAATCAAGCCCTCGAAAGATTTGAACACGTGGGATGCACCGCTGAAACCATACCGCTCAAGCCATTCTCCGAGGCAACCAGCTTACCACAAGACACGTGGCGAACGTGCCAAGCTGGATGCCGTCTAGCGCCGCATGTTGCTATGTGCCACCCTGACCCCAGATGGCCAGTCAAAACCCCGTACCCCCAGTGAACATCCCAATCCCCACTAAAATGGGTGGTGCACCTACCCCAAAATGGTACCATTGGTTTTGAACCATGGCCAGATCCCTTTGCCAGGATGCGGGAAGTCGGGCTTGTTCTTGTCCGCGCATGCCTGCTTAATCACTGCTTACACCCATTGGCGCGCAGCTTCGGGGATTCGGGGCGTTGTGGGGCACTTAGCCTCCCACCCTATTTCTACAAGGTCTGTATGCATGTGTATATATATATATATCTGCATACACACACACACACATATATATATATATATATATAACCAATCAAGTAGTACTATATCACATGTAAACATACATGTACAGATATGTATACACACCTCTTTGAGGGATACATATATATATATATATTTGTTTGGCAGCAGCACCAAGTGGAAGACCACTTCGGTTGGTCCAAACGATCACCAGCTAGAAACACAAGGAACCCTGGCATAGGCTTCGGTTCATCCCAAAGGCTGCGGCAATCCCAACTGAGCTTCGTTCAGGGTTAATTACCCCCGCGGGTGCCGACGTGGGATGGCATTTGCTCACTTCTGACCGGATGGATTGGCCCAAATAAAGGCTAAACTTTTTTTTTATCACTAAAATTGTCCTTCCAACAAGTATGAAGTCAGTGCAGGAACTTACGAAGTGAGGTTAGCTCAATCCCCCGTTGTCATGCCGGACCAAAACCAAGTAGATCTATACATCTCTACCCTCTTTTCAAGAGTCATAGGGCATTTTCAAAAAGACTGCCAGCATCTTGAAAAGACCCCTTCTGAATTTCCACGATTGTTGGAAAAGAGGGAAGGCATGCCATGCATCTGAACAACTAGAATGGGGTTCGGGGTACTTTAAAACCAAGTTGTGTCATGACAGCAGTGGCAACATGTAAGCAACTATCCAGGACCGTATCTCACATGACGTCAGGCAAGTGTGCTATAACCATATGATTATAGACAGACTCACCCCTTGGTTGCTGTTGAGCCCTCTGCAAAAGAGAAGAAGCTTCACTTTGTGTGAGTCCAATGGAAACTATCTGTTTCTCAAAAAGTTGAAGTCTAAAGATCCAACCAAATAGCTGAGCTTTTTGTGCAAAATGCTGGCTGACCTGAGTTGGCTCAGAAAAAGATGAGACACTTTTCTGGGCTTGACTGTAAAAACATGATACACCTAAAAGACTCTGAGTGCGGGGGTCTGCGCGGGCTCTTGGCTCACTGGGGCTCTCTCTCACTTCCGGGACCGCCTGGAAACTTGGTCGAATCTCTTGGCTGGAAAAATCGGACCCCAGCAACAAAAATCGTCATTGTTTGCCTGGTTCGTGGAAAACAAAGGGGACCCCAAAACAGCAAAGAAGGAAACAGGGGAAGGCGATAAAGCAACGCAGCACCAAGGTCCAAAATGGCAAATTCTGTTTGCCACCCCTTCCAAACCCTGGATCGCTCAATCACACTGAACAACTTTAACCGTTGCTGAGTGGGAAAAACAATAATTTCCCAACAAACTTGGTTGCTGCTGACCCATCTGCAAAACGTGTAACTTTATGTGGGCCCAATGGAAAATCACTGTTTCCCAAAGGTTGAAGTCGAAAGACCCACCCAACTAGCCATAAAGAAAATGCTACAGTTTTAACTTGGTTGCGAACTCTGCTCCGCTGCTAAAAGTGAATAACTTTTAGTGGTTTAATACGGAAAACCCATTAGTTGGCAACAAGTTCTCAAGTCCTAACATCTACGCAACATGCACCAAAGTTAAGATCCAACTAAATGGCAGCCAGGATCACCCCCCCTCCCCCGCCCGCACCGCACCGAAAGGCTCACCAGTCCCTTGGCAGTGCCGGGGGGCTGTGACCAGCGGCGGGTCGCAGCATTTGCCCCAGCAGCGCTGGCACTTCACCAGCTGCGACTGTCCTGCCAGGCCAGGCGAAAAAGACACGTCCCAGAGAGAAACCTCTTCTACTAGGGTGATTTCCCCTTCTTTTCAACCATCGTTCTTTTCGAATGTTTCCCCTGGGTTTCTGATTGTTTTCTGGAAAGAAGGATCTCTGGAAAGAAGCATGGGGAAGGTACCCCTAGACTTCTACTCAGATCCGATCGAGTGGATGGCCCACAAAAAAGTCGAGGAACTTCTGGTGCACCACTAAAAAATGTCTTCCCCAAAAAGTATCAAGTTGAGGAATTCGGGGAAACATCCAATTGCTTTGTTGCCCCTGCAAAAATGAGAACATGTGTCCAGTAGTGTAGTCGATTCCCTTTAAAATTAACAGGTGAACATCAAACATATTCTTTGGCAAATGGAAGGATCACCCCTCCACGGATAGGAAAACCTCCTCTACTCACTTCCGATGGAGTGATGGCCCAAAAAAGAAGTCCAAACTTTATGTTGACCACCAAAATCTTGGTTGCTGTTGACCCCCCTGCAAAAAAGCAAAAAAAACTGTTTGGGGTGTAGTGGAAAACACGTTATGCATACGCCTGTCTTTTTAGTGAGCCTCTTTGTTCTTTGGCTTTTTTCAAGGCAAAACAGCAGGATCAGGACGACCACAATTTTAGGGGTCCCCCGATTTGTCGAGACAGACCCATACGGCCGGCACCGCAACACCATGGCGCCGATCCCCGTCCATTGACAAAGTCGCTGCCGCAGTAGCCGCAGGTGGGCAAATTGCTGGTGTCCACTTGCCTCGGCGCGGCTGCGCTGACCCCGAGAAAATTGCGCTTCGGTGTTCCTTTTGGCTTCCTAAAGCCACAAAAAAGGGGGTCCTCCAAAAAAGGGCAGATCCAAGTATGACTCCCCCCTCTACTTGGTGATTTGGTTCGGTGGTTTGGAGCTTAGAAAAGAGGATTCTAAATCCAAATTACCAATCCACCAAGGGAAAGCTGATTCAAAGGCTACGTTTTAGCCAAATCCAAATCACCTTGGCCAGCCGTTTCAAAGGGCGTCTGCATGCAATGTTGACGATTGCTGAATCCGTCCTGTGAATACCAGGGTGATTCCTCTCCAAAAGAAAAAGTCCTGGATTCCCGCTAAAAGGGAACCACTCCCCTTTTACATCGACCAGGCATGTATCAATCCGAAGTCCCATTACAAGGTGAATTCTGGGTGCATCCTTTGCGGGACACCCGGACTTTGCAAGGAACCATCCATCGGGCATAGGATCGACTGTAAAAACCAAATACACTTCGTTTACCACGAAAATTGTCTTCCCAGAAGCAGAAAGTCCAGGAACTCAGGGAGTGAGACAACCAACCAGCTGGCACAATTCCCCTGATTTGGGGTAAAGTCAAGCGGATGACTAAATGGACAAAAGTAGATGGCAGGAGTCTGAATCTTATCTCCAGCTTATCTCACTTGCGCAAAGCGAATCGACCTTTTAACCTTTCGTTTGCCAGAGTTGGTCCATTTTTAGTGGCCCCAAACAGGTTAACCTTCTATTTCCGGGTCTTTTGGGGAACTGAGTTATAATGTGAAAATAGAAGGCGATCACCTTTTTGGGACCTCTAAACATGGACCTGGACCATGGGAAAACGAAGCAGCAGCTCAAATCAACCTGCCGATCCGAGGATTAGGACTGAGCGCTCTGGAAACGGCGAAACATACGTCCAGCAGTGATAGGTCTTGAAACCCGGCAAGGGAAAATGAAACATACCTCCACCATCAGAGCCTCTCCTTTTGGGGAACCCATCGTCCACTTCCAAAAGGTGACTGGAAAGAGGCTGCTCTTGGGCGAATGACAAGTCAAAGGGTTGATCCGCCTTTGCAACGGGAGATCCGCTGCCAAGGAGCTTTCGCAGGTGTTCAGGCAAGTGCTTCAGCGGGATGCTGCCGCCTCGATTTGGCAAATGGAAGGCCCTGCCTTCCACTGGCTGGGAGGGCTGGCAGCTCCAAACTTAGCTTTTTGGTCGGATTTCGTTGGAGTCGAGGCTCCACCCCGTTTGGTGCCATCCCGGCGCTTCTTTCAACTAAGGAAATCGGCAGAAAAGGTGTCATCTTAACTTATTATTTACTTATAGTTTTCATACTTGGTCTAGATTCATAAATGACAGCTGTGGGATTTGAACCCACGCAGCTTGCGCTAGTGGAACTTGAGTCCACCACTTTCGAACCATGTTCTTACAGAACTCCAATCAGCTCCTGAACCGCTCCCTCTTTGAAAGCAAATGTGGATGCAAACCGACAATCCAAACCACCAAGTGACGCTTACCCGACATGATTTTAGGGAGTCCCCCAAAAACAAGTCTAGTGGGGAGAACAAAACTCGTTCGCCACGCCTAAACTTCCAACCAAAATACCAGCGAAGATGATGCACCCGCAAGATAGGTCCACTTTTCTTTACGGGGGCAGCGGCCACCAAGCAACTACCCGGTTTTGGTCCCGCCTAGGTCCTCCAGTAGAGAGGTTAGAATAAGGGTACCAACTTTTTCTGTAGTCTATTTTAGTAGGGGCTTCACTCTCCCCTTTCCAAAAAAAGGGCGAAAAAGAAAGGGCACCAATTGCTGGAGGACCTAATAGAGTCTTTTCATATCTCAACTGCTGGATTCCTTTCATTTTGGCGGGAAAAACATGTTTCGAATGGGAAAAGAGCTGAATTGCACCAACTGCTGGGGGACCAATTGATGTGGAGCCACATCCGAGTCCTTACCGCATTTCCGAAAGAGAGTCGCTCACAGCGCGGCTCAACTGCCTTCGTTGATCCTCGTTTGAGGGGAAGGGGAAAAAGCCACAAGGGGGAAAAACGGAGTCCTTCCGTTGATTTCCCCTTATCCTCTTAAGGGAGTTGTTTTTTCTTTTTCAGCTTTCTTCAAACAAGAGGGAACATTGAACCATAATGAAATGAGCGTGTCTTTCTTTGAGGGTGCCCCCTGTTGGTTGATTTCAGTAATTTCAAAAGGAAGCCAAAAGGGAAACCACCATTTTTTGGGGTCACCCTAGTGCAAAACGCCCCATGTTCGGATCTCCAGGGCTCGAACCCCAGGGATCACGTCACCCGACGACTCTGCAGCCAAAGCTCTGGGCAAGTCGAGTACGGCCTGACGACACGACCGCCGCCCCAAGCTGCTAGGGGGGGGGGGGGGGGGGCTGGTTGCTTTTCTCCACCAAACATGTTCCCTGGGGTTCAGTTGACCCCGTTAGTTCGCCTTCAAGAATTTCCTCATCCAAATTGGCTCAACCAGAATTTAAAGTTGTGGTTGCTAGGGTGTTTATTCCCAAAAGCATTCTTTTTTGTCCAGCCCAGCCTGCTTTTCCCCCAGTTTGGATTGGATTGTTCACCCCCAAGCTCGTGCTTCCACGACAAAACATGTGTTTCCATCCAAAAACAGTGTCCCCCCCCCCCCCCCAAACAACAGAAACGACTAAACCTGTGCTTTTTCCACCCAGCAAACTTGTTCCACAGCCAGGCCAGGTTCACCGAACCTGTGTTTTCCATCCCAAACCCGTTTTTCCACCACCAAGCCTGTGTTCCACCAGCCCCAAACTAAGCGAGAACGGCAAATAAGATGGTGAAATTTGAACTATTTGTGTTTGGTCAGGTCTAATTGCAAACGATGCGACTACCTACCCCCCATTTTGAGACAAACCCGTTGAGCCACTACGACCCCCCACGTCCTGTTTATGGAGCCCGTACCCCCCCCCTCCTTTACCCCCCCCCCCCTTTAAGCTTAAAGGGCTTCTCTTGCAGGGGAGGCTTAGGAAGCCTTGCGGAAGGTTTGGGGAAGCCTTGGGGAAGCTTGGCCTGACATTCGCCCTGCGCATGGCGGGAACACTGACAAGAAATACCGAACCTGCAAATTAGGTTAAAGAAGCCTTGGGAAGCCTCACGGAAGCCTTAGGGAAGCCTTAAGGAAGCCTTAGGGAAGCCTTAGGGAAGCCTTAGGGAAGCCTTAGGGAAGCCTTAGGGAGGCCTTAGGGAGGCCTTAGGGAGGCCTTAGGGAGGCCTTAGGGAGGCCTTAGGGAAGCTGGAAACCTTAGAGAAGCCCTAGGGAAGCCCTAGGGAAGCCCTAGACAAAGCCGTACGGTCTCCTTGGGGAAGCATGTTTGCGGAAAGCTTATGGGGACGCAGCACTTTCAGAAAAAAAAATCGAATCTCTTATGATTTCCCTAGGTTGGGGGGACGCAGCAAAGTACCGCAGCTCGAATGTCCGATCAAAATCAAGGGGTCTCTTAGGTTCAGCTTAGGAAGTCTTAGGGAAAATGTTGCTATATCCACTTCCTAGCCACCCTAGGGATAGGACCTAACTACCTTAAGGGGGGGGTGGGGGTAGGGGGGGGGGGGGGTACAGGCATTCATAACCTGTTGGTTTGGGGAGTGTGGGAACTAAGAAACACCAATAAATGAAAGGCTGATTCGGTCCGTATATGAACCTTGGCCATTTTGGACCCCGAAGGGGGGCTGATGTCCCATAAAGCGGTAGAACTAACAGTTAATTCACCCATAAGCAAGGAGTTCATTCCAGGGGTTCATAACTTCACAACCCTCCGTATGGTAGCATAAAACTACCTTTTGTTTGCAGCCCGCGACCTGAAATGACCAGAACCAGAAAACCGGGAGAAAAACAAATGCTAAGAACCGTGAAGCATACCTTCAGCCTTTGAGTCAATTGGACTGCGAATCTCAACTTGGGCATCGGCCAGGGTCGTTGTCGTGGTCGTTCCACCAGCTTGCGCTGCGCTGACCGTGGCATTCCCCGCATCGGTCTGGCAGGGCCAACTAGGGAATATGTGGGAAAGCCTCCCGACTCACCAAAGGGAACACGCACCAGGGCCATGCGTATTGAGAATACGGTGCGGGGTACTGAGCCAAAGTATGTCGGAGGCCATAAAGTGTTGTTGCATCGGCCCTTATGTTGTGGGAATTGCTTTCCGATACAGCACTTAGGCTGTGGGGCTATACACATACGCAGCATAAGGAAGATCCCCCCGCCAAACAAAAAAAACACAAACAGGTTGGTAATCACGTTTCCGCAATCGGGATGGTGGCAGTGGTGCTTCATGTGGGGTACCTGTCCATTGCCGCTCCCAGAAAACTTGCGTCACACATATTGTCTGATTCGGCCGATTGAACTGACGGATATCAAGGGCGACATGTCCCAAAAGCGGCCACAGACCAATTCCTTTTGGCGGACTAGCCGGGCGCATGGCACGGGGCCACATGGCAACCCCAAAGTGAAGGCTTTCCTAATGTTGACCCCGGATCTAAGTAGAACCCCTGGTTGATTTTGATCGGGGGGTGTCCAATTCCTTTTAGTGGTTGGATTCAGACCACTTTTGGAGGGAACACCTCCCGAAAAAATGGGACGCGTTTATTACTCCTGGGTCAACATTACCCTCAAACCAAAAGCGCCCACATGGACAGAAGCAAGTGAGGAATGGAAACTAGGCCACTTACCTGTTTGCTGGTTGAAGGGACGCTCAAAGCTTTTTTGGACACGTTTTTCACATGGAGCTAAAACCGTAGTCCTTCCATTTTTTTGGCGCCCCGTTCCGTGCTGCGAGATTGGAGGGCCCGAGGGCTAGTTTCATCCAGGCCGGCCTCGCATCTTTCAAACCATTGCGGGGACCGGATTTGCGGGGACCCAGGGCTCAGGCTCAAGTGAAACCATAAATAAGATTCCAAGGAACCCAACCCACCACACCCAAAAAACCTTGTTCAGGGGGTGGGGCTGCCCTCATAGGACCCAAACATCCTCCTGGCATTCTCAAACAAGGCCTTCTAGTTGGCAAGACCCTATTAAGGTTTCATTGTGGGAAAACAGGGGGAGGGGGGATTGGTGGTTTAGAGGCATTTCAGTGAGATGTCCCGTTCACCCACTACAAAAGTCAGGGGTTCAAATCCAAAACCACCAATCCAAACCACCAATTAGAGGGAAGCTGAACAACGGAGTCAAGCAAACATCAACCTACCAAGAACAACCTTTTTGCCCCAGCAACTACGTACAAATCACCGACCAGCCCCGAAAAAATGGTGTTGGCAAAGAACCAAAGGCGGGTCTTGTTGGGTTCCGTTTGCTTTTTCCACACCCAAAGGTACCGAGCCTCAGAAAACACACCATTGTACACTAGTGATCTTCTTTGTGTTACTCCTAGGTCCTCCAGTGGAGAGGTTGGAAGGTTGGAATATGGGTACCATTTTTTCTGTCGTCTTTTGTAGTCGGGGATTCACCCTCCCAACCAAAAAGGGGGTGAGAAAGGGCACTACTGGGGGACCTAGACGCCTATGACGAATCAGCCAAAAGCTCCTATGACTTGGGGAAGGGGCTTTTGCCATTCCATGAGTCGGCTTGGGCGCCTTCTCCCAGCCGTCGGTGGGCGGATGCGTGCCTCAAACTTGCGCCGTTCTCCACCCCATCAGGCCCCATCCAAGAATTGAACCATGCCCCATCCAATTCCTTGAATCCAGTTGAGCACCCTCCAGCCACTGCTTCTCTGACAGAGGGATTTCGGAGATGGGAAAAAGCAGTTGTTGGGGGATGCTGGTGCGCGTGTCTTTCTGAGTGTAATGAGTCCTTTGCGGAGTTTAGAAGCAAATCGAAGCCCCCCCCCCCCCCCCATTTTGCACACAGGCGGTTTATACAGTGAGGAAAACCCCAAAGACTGAGCCTGATTCATGCGGAACACCATGTAGATGCAATCAGTGGAGCAACCCAGTCGGTGACAGGATAAGCCCTAACTGCAGTCTGCACCCACACTTCCACCTCTGCCCCTCCCCCCCCCCCAACCCCCCAACCGCTAAGGACCCGGCAGCAAGTCGACATGCATGCCTCAGGCGATTCACAATGCCTTGCCCGGCCCCGAAAGTAGCCCCAATTTGTTTGATCGAAATCGGGACCCAAAAGAAACCACCTGATGCCACAGGCTACCACGGAATCGGAGCCGGGCCGTCTTAAAATAAAATAAAAATAAAACAAAAATGCTCGTCACCCACCAACAAAGCAGCAATATACGCTCTACCTCCCGCAGCCCTGTCGGGCATTACTTCTTACAGAAAGTGGACAACCCTCCCAGCGAATCCATGGAAACAACTCTGTCACTTCCTGAGTGGATTGGCCAAACAAAGTCTAAACTTTTCCCGGTTCAAATCACCAAGAAATCAGAGGGGGTTAATATAACCACCCAAATCTACCAAAGGAATTTCATCATCTAGTCAACCAAGGCCCTTCTTTTCACGGAGGCAAGGAACCCTAGGGTGTTCGTCTACTGCAACGGTCCGACCCCAGGTGACTGAAGTTCCTTCAACGGAGCTCAGGGGAAACCCGCTTGGAATTGAAGTCGTTTCCTTCCTGGAGCTCGCGTGCAACTCCTAGCCACTAGGCTAAAGGAGTGCCTTGGGCGTTCAACCATGTCATTGCCATGGGGGCTATGGAGAGGGCGGGGGGGTGGCGGGCATGACTCCCTTATTAATCCGCCATGGTTGCAACCTCTTTTTATGTTGGCTGAACATCCAAGAAGAGTTGGAGGAGAATAAGGGGACGACCACCCCAGTTGCCCCAGTCGTAATCATGGTTATGAACTACTTACTACTAAGTTGGCGAAAGTGGGAGACGAGGGACTCATGTTAGCTGTTGCTTTTTGAAGGAAAACCCCTCCAACCAAAAGGAACAACGCCTGCAATGGGCACGGGGTCCCCGAGCCCCTGACGCGTGTAACCTACCTGGATGTTCGACCCACTTCGTAAGTGGGTCATAACGTTTGTGGTCCACAGCAAGTAGAACTGGGGCTAGCTGGCTTCCAACGACGGACAACAAACCCGGTTGAACATCCAAGTAACCCTGCATCTTGGTTTGAAAGGGGAATCTTAAAGGAAACAGGAGTTACCAAATATTTGGAGGTTTGGCCGTGTTATGCCAGGTAACCTGCATTTTGGTTTGGAAGGAAACCCCAAAGGAGACTACCCAGAACAGGGGTCACCGAATGATTGGAGGTTTGGCCGGGTGATGCCAAATGCCTTCCTTCCTCCCTTTGTCGCCTTGACGTCGGTCTTGGGCGCGTTGTCCAAGTCCGTGGCATCGTCCGCGCTGCCCGGAAGGGGGTAGCCGTTGGCCGCGCTCGCGGGCCCGGTGTAGTACCTCGACAGATCATTGATTAAGCCCCCCACAGACCAAGACAAGGTCGACCCCCTTTCCCAGCCCGGGGCAAAGAAAACAAGAGCAACAATGACAAAACGAGAAAGGAGAAAAAGGCCCTCCATTTTCAGTAGGAGATCTCCAAGTTGCAGATACCGTGGATGGACAAAATCCGTTCGCACCGCTTTGAAACCAAGCGAAACCATGGTTTGTTGGCACTTCCAGGCTTTCTGAACGGTGGTGCGAAATGGATCTCGTCCATCCACAGAAATAAACCGATTCTGACCTGAGATCCCCAAGCCTCACTTTGACGCTCAATCGCGCGCCAGGCGGCTTCGCGATGTAGCCCGGGGTCCCAGACATGTCGTCGTCGTTCATTGGGTTGGTGTGGCTCGCGCAAAGCTCCAGATCTGAGGACGTCTTGGTCGGGTTCACGAAGTCGCACTCCTAAAAAAGGTCGGAGGTGTTTGGACCCGAAAAAAAAAAAAAAGGCCGCGGAGGCCCGAAAGCCTCAAATAATCAGGTCTTGCGACCCTAAGGGCCCACACTTCTTAAGGAGTGGGGAATCCTTTCTTTCAGGGGGACCCACCTGACTATTGACTGGGGGGTTGTTAATCAGGGGGCAACATTGTCACGGCTCTGTGGCAGATCCCGCTAAATAAATCGAGGTAGGCCATCGTCATAATCAACACCTGCCCCTTGCACAGAAAAAGAAGGCGCTACCTATCCACTAACATGGAACCCGACCCCTCGGGGTCCTGGATTGAAAGATTTCCTTTGAAATGCACCGAGCCTCTGGTGGGTTCCACGTTCGTGGACCATTGGGGAACCTTTCGGGGCCAAAAAACTTGGGAACCTCACTTCCCGAGTGGATTGGCCACGAAAAAGTGAAAAGTCCAAACGTGCTGTTTGCCACTAAAATGGTCAATTGGTCTTCCCAAAAAGAATGTTGAAGTCCAGGAACTCAGGACTTGGTTGACGTTGGAAGGGGAGCAAAGATTCTCAAATTTTAGCAGTCAAGTGGTTGGATTTCAACCACTAAACCACAGTAAGCAAACATGTTATTAAAAAAATAATAATGAGGGAGTGAACCCAAAGAACTCCGAAAGCTCGATTCATCTGGTCGAATCGCTTTGCACGTGAGACAGCCTTCAAGTCACCTGAGTGGATCGGTCAAAAGACTGTTGTGGAAAACAGAAAAAACTGGTCCAAACCCAAAACGAATAAAATCCACGAGCTCAAGCAGCTCAAGGAGTGAGTCAATATAAACAAACAAATGCAGACGTGTCCAGGATGCTTGCGCCTTGGTCTTTACCTGCCAAGGCTTACCACCGAACTTATGGCTTGGGCCCAAAACCATCCATGGTCTTCCGCCACAAAAACGCGCCTGGGTGCGCCGTCCAACCACTGGGTGCGCCTCTTTTCAGGAGTTGGACCCCGGAAATTGTGGGGCAGGTGTCCTGGGCGGCTTTCCTAGGTCCTCCAGCAGAGAGGCTAGAATGAGGGTACCAACTTCTTTTTTTCTGCAGTCTATTTTAGTAGAGGAACCCTCCCGTTTCCAAAAAAGGGGTGAGAAAGGGCACCTAGCGGGGGGACCTAGGGTATGTGTTCCGAAATTCTTGCAGGCTTCTCTTTATAGGTGACCTCCATAGGTGACCTCCATAGGTGACCTCCATAGGAGCTTTTTTCCAGCCTGCAGTTCGACACCTGACACCCGTTTCACGTCGTTCCTTCGGGTTTAAGGGTAGGGTTTGACGTGTAGGCTTTAGGGTTTCCCGCGGAAACACGGGCTTCTCTGCTTACTACAGAGCTGTTCCCTTGTCTTTTTGCCGTCGGGCATGTGCGAACTCACTTCGGTTAAGGGTGTTCCTTTAAACCCAAAAAGGGAAAATACACAAGAGTCTTCAGCAAATGGATCCCGGGAGGTGTACCAAGGGTTCCAAGGATGTTCCTATGTGGTTTTCCTTTGAAACCAACCAATCAGCTAGCATTCAAGTGGCCTCCTAAATGGTACAGGCCAAGCTGAATTGCTTGGCTTGGGAGTAGGAAGGGTTGCAGAGGAGGCTTCTGCAAGGGTTTTTGAAGCCAAACAGGGGGCTGCCCTCAACATTTGAGGCCGTCCTTGAAGTCGAGGGAGTCCATAAAGCCTTGGAAGCTCACACATTCCGAGGCCCCAACCAACCCAAAAGGGGAGCGAATTCTGGTTGGAAGTCTTCTATGGTTTCATTGAAGGGGATTCCTCGGTTCAGTCCCAAACCCCTGGGTCAGTCGCCGCTGAGCACCAAGGATCTAGCTCAACAGGCCCCCTGTGCAGACCGCGTGTTGAAGAAAGCAAGCCTTTGCAAATCCGTGCCCGTTTGTGGTTTCGATGTTGGCTGATAGGCACAAGCCCTATGACCCGGAAAGGCTTGCTGGTCATTTCGCCGCCGCGGTCCCGCTAGAAGTTTGAAGGGATCAATGGTTTCACCCTTCAAGTATTTTACCACGTCCTTGCGGAATTACTGCTAGCTCGGAAAGGCTCTCTCTCTTTAAAGGAACATTTGGATACCCCTGGCTGAACAGCTCCCTTCCAACCAGCTAGTCCACGCTGGAACCTGTGGAACCCTCCAAAGGGTCGGTCCCAAGGAAAATCGCAGCTCCAGGACCCCTCAGTTAGGTTTCATGTTGGTGGACACGAAAACAAACTCAATCCAATAAGTATCCTGTACATTTCAGTGTCGGCCCTCACAAAGGCAGGTCCACGCCAACAAAACATCACCGTAAAAAAATGTCGAACAAATTCATTTGCCCCAATCCGCAAATGCAGGGGTCACTGGAAAACCCCCCTTCAAAAACTTATCAATTTGCTGGTAAACAGGGGAAATGGAGGAACTCCTGAAGGAGCGCAGTTAAATGTGGCGCCTTTCATTGCAACATTGGATTCCAGGAGAAACCAGACGCGCTTCCATGGACTGGCCAAGGAAAGTCGAGAATCTGGTTGATCAAAACGGTCCAAACTCAAAAAGGCTCAAGTCCGAAACGGAACTCAAACTGGGCTCAGATCCTCCGCTAAAAGTTTACCTAGTGGGGTTAAATGGAAATCTCCACTAAACGCTAAAATGCCAAAAAGCTAAGGAGCCGGATGGCCTTCGGGAGCCACCAAGCCAAGTGAGAGTCAGGAAGGTCCGTGGCCATTGGAGTCATAATTCAAAACCGATTGGTATTCAAAAGGCGGAACCGAGAGAAAAGCGAACGGGGGAAGTGAAAAAAAGGCTTCCCAAAGACTCCCCGCCCCCATATGCAAAGGGGGATAAAACAAATCCTTGTATCATAGACTAGGTCGTCCAGCAGAGAGCTTAGAATAAGGGTACCCTTTTTCTGTAGTCTGTTCTAGTAGGGGAACCCTCCCAACCAAAAAAGGGGTTGAGAAAGGGCACTACTTGGGGACCTAGTAGACGTGGTTGGATAAACTTCCGAGTGATCCTGCAACCTTCCGAGGGGCTGGTATCCCAGGCCCCGCCATCCTTGATGCATTCCTCGAGCTTCTGCTTTCCTGAGATGCGCAAAAGCGCTGTTCGAAATCGGTTGACCGGTTATGCCTGGGGTTCAGTCCACAAGCTAAATCAAAGGGGGTGAGAATATAAACGACCATTGTTTACGCTTCAGGAATTTCACATCCAAATCGGGTCAACCAAGTTGCCATTTTGTTACTGGAACCCTTAGGGCTACAGCAGTTTGAAGATGGAAACCCCGAACAAATTGTTAGAATACCTCTAAATGGTCACTTGGGACCGAGGGGGCACCCCCCTCCCCCGGGGATGGAAACAGGGTGAAACTCACGCATCCTGTGCGCCGTGTGCCTGTCAGGCTGCATGATGGCAAATACATGCCGACCGCCGACTTGCACCGAGCGGGCTCAAAAGGGTCCTCAAACATCACAAATGCCCGGCTTCGAATTGGACCTAGAGAAAGCAACGAACAAACAGGCACATAGGTACGCCTTTTTTAGCCGACTCCCTTAGTTGTTCCTTTAAAACCCAAAAAAAAAACAGGTACACTCAAACACGTACGGACGGACCGGAGACGGGGACAATCACACCATGGTTCTAAGGGGACACCCAGCCTAGTCACACCAGTTATAACCATGATTCGAAGGGACGGGACAATCACCCTAGTCGCGCCAGTTATAACCATGGTTCTAAGGGGACAATCACCCCAACCGTGGTTCTAAGGGGACAGAAACAGTCACCCTAGCCACACCAGTCACAACCAGGGTTCTAAGGGGACAATCAACACCAGTCATAACCATGGCTCTATCCTAGGTCCTCCAGTAGAGAGGTTAGAATAAGGGTACCCTTTTTATGAGAAATTCCTCCCCCAAAAAAGGGTAAAAGGGCACTACTGGGGGACCTAGTATCTTCTGAGTTGCCCAAAGGACCCAGAACTAAAAGGTTAACCTTTTGGCACCTCTACTAAAAATGGACCAAAATGGGAAAACCAAAAGGTCAAAAGGTCGATTCGCTTTGGACAACTGAGTCTTACCTGCCTGTCACATCCAAGAACATTTGGACGTCCCTCGACCAAGTCCTCAACCGCGTCAGGCGTCGGTCATCGAAGGTGTAGAGCTTCAGAGCCTCCAACATGCAGTCCACCTGGGCGATGGCCTTGGCCTCCGTCTTCAGCATCTCCTCCCAAGGCCCAAAACGCGTCCGTTGACGCGTGCGGAAAACACAGGGATCCGGATGCATTATACACCTGAACATTGAACTTGTAAATGGTGTTGTTTCCAACTTTATTTTGGTGTTGAAAAAACAACATGTTTCAAATGGTTGCAAAATGTATCTTTTAAGGAGCCCTGTAGATGTCCTTTTTGGGGAAAATAGATGGCCCTGGTGGTTGATTGAACCACCAAGCGGCCCTCTACTTTTTTCAGCCAAATCAACCACAAAGGACACCTATGGTGATGCATTCATGCGTTTCATTTGCGGGGGGGGGGGGGTTGGCCAATGTGCATTGCATAGACACCAAACCACCAGCTACAGGAAGATCTGCAGGACGTTGGCCACCCACCCTGTAGAATTTCCTGCATTTGTGAACCAACCCTGACAAAAACAGAAACTAGAAAAAAAGGCACCCTCAAAAGACATAGGCCCATGTATCTGGTCTGTAAGTGTTGCTTTTGGATGCCCTGACTTGTGGGTTGAATGGAAGCCCAACATGTCCATTGCTCAGCGACCCTGGACAAAAAGGGGGCCTCTTTTGAATGCCCATTGAATTGAGGCATGTAGCGAGAGAACATATATTTGTGCGTCTGTTTGTTGAGGGCACCCTTCTTGGGTTGCTTTAAATAGGGCATGACGAGGCAAACCGGGGGGGCCACTTGCTATGTTGACACAAACCCATCTTGGGTGCTGTAGATCCCCCAGCAAAAAGTTTAACTGTTTGCTGGTCAAAAGACAATATGAGGGGAATCCAAAAAAATAAAGTCTAAAGATCCAACTGATCCAACCCAACAGCAGTAGAGCCACTAGACGAGAGCCGCTGAACTGGACAGCTACTTGAAAGCCGCACGGGCCGCAGTCCTCCTGACCGCCGCCGGCGCAGTAGCTGCGCTTCAGACCAACCTCGGCAGCTCATCGATCGCAGCCGCAGCTAAAACATTCCCCTAGAATGAATGAGCCGCCCTTCTTACTTGCCCAAAGGACCTGAAAATCCAAGGTTTACTTTTGAAAATCCAAGGTTTACTTTTGAGGCCCATGACCAAAATGGGTACCCACACGTGTCAAAGGTCTTCGCTTTGGACAAATGAGTGTTATGTCCCATTCTGGAAGGGTTGCTGTTGACCCCTCTGCAAAAAGTGGTCAACTTCTTGTGGGTCCCCTCCGGACAATCTGATCTGTTTCAAAACAAAAAGTTAAAGTCCAAGACTCCACTTTGTGGCTTTGCAAAGGCATGTGTTTTCCAGAGCTGCCAATGTTCCCTCCTTGAAACTTTAGACAAAGGTGTTTAGCCCCTAAACAAACATCCTGAGGATTCTGGGCTTGAAGTCTGGTCGGCGATTTCTCTGAGGACATGGCCATGTCCTTGTCGGCTTTGGCGTAGCAGCCTTGCGTCGGGCGGGAACATCTTCTCGTTTTTGAGGATCGGCCCAAACATAGCCAACGAGCACGTGTGTGTGTTTGTGTGCGCGTTACCACTCAAAGGTTACTCCCCAACATACCTTCAATTGCAAAGTCCAGGGCCCTCTTGGGTGTTCAACCAAGACAGTATGCTTTATGTAACCACGGTTAAGAGGGATGATCACCCCAGTTGCACCAGTTACGCACCATGGTTATAACCTACGGCCCACCCATACCCACTCACTAAGTTGGTTGATGTTGGTTGAACATCCAAGTTGGGAACTCAAATTTCAAATGCCCGCCCAAGGGGAACGATCACCCAGTTACCTGACGCTGGTTGAAGATCCAAGGCCGCCAGCGAAAGAGCAAGGAAGCGTCCGGTCGAACCGGGGGTTGAGTGCGGGGGGTTGGTACTTCACTGGTGGGGACCGCTGCTTTACATGCCAAGTGCTTGGGCGGCGGGGCGTGGCGCTCCAAATGGAATACCCCTGAACACCACACACACACACACACACGTCTTGTTTTGGGGTCGTAAAGAAAACCAAAAAGAACACCGAAGCGATTTTCTTTTCTTAAGGGGTATCGATTTAACAGGGCTCCTTAAAAGATGGCCATTTTGCAACCATGTGAAACATGTTGCTTTTTCAACACCCAAATAAAGGGAAACCACCATTTGCAAGGCAATGTTCAGGTGTATAATGTATGGATCCCTGTTTAAGTTCGAGATGCGTTTCCTGGGACTCGTGGAGATTTCCTACACTGCAGCAGTACACCCTGGGGGAAGTGACCCCACATAGTCCCGAAGAACCCGCAACACCAACTAGGCCGAAAAAACGTGGATTCCCCAGAGAGCGTCAAATCGCAGAGTGGAAAATGGAAAACCGTTGGATTGGAGATGGTAATCCGGGGCCCGCGCGGTCATAGGCGAGGCACGCTCGATGCCTCTGCTCCGCCTGCCTTGGATGGCAACCGACTCGGCGGTTGACACGCCGCCGGCCGCCCGGAGGGGTCTTCGGTTTCGGTGACGTCAGCTGCCCTCTACTTGCTTTGAGTGTCAAAATTAAACCACCAGGAATTGGACCCCAGGTTTTAGTCCTGGGTACCCATTTTTGAGCCACACCCAGATGCCCTTTAATTGCTTTGGAGCCCGGTGCCACCAAAGCCAGGGGTACAAATCCCCAAAGCAACTAGAGGGAAGCTGATCAAATGGCGGCGTCTTGAAGCCAAACTTTTAGACCCTACCTTCCCTCAAGAAGGGTGGTTTGGAGCCGAATCGGTGTGGATGGGTGAAACGGGGTTGGTGTTGCCTGAAGACCTGCAAAAAACAAACAAATGGGAAACACCAAGGAACCCCTTAAGGGCACAAACACAAAATAATGGCCTGAGCCTGTTTAGCAACCATTTGACAACATGGGTGAAGAGTTCTGCATGGCAATTCAACTGAATGTCACTTGCCCCTTAGGGACCGGGAACTAAACATGTTAACCTTTTGGAACCTTGCCTAAACATGGACCAAAGAACCAACATTTGAAAATATTCCAAGGCCGATTCGCATTGGGCAACCGAATTTCAAGAACGTAACATGAGTGAGCCTAGTAAGTCACACACCTGAGCTCTGAACAAACTCCTCACATGGTAGCGTTTTTGGGGCCACGCTTGCAGGAAACCAAAGGAACCACTTGTTTTTTTGCAGGGGGGAGGGGGGGGCCCTTATTTTGAGCCAACTGTACGCAACCAACAGTTTGCATGCGGGAAGCTGGCAAGATCCGTAAGACAAGCAAAAGCCGCTGCCTCTGTTGCGCCCCGTTTTTGGCGGCTTCGCACTTTTCCGGCTCCGCTCCGCCGCTCCGAACGGATCGGAGGCCTGGAAGGAGCGAATGCTCCGGCAGGCTTGATCGAGGGTCTCAGGCGCTCTTCCATTGTTTGTCATGTTGGAGTCGCAGCAAATAGTGTGCAAGTGGCTCACGCAAGTAGAACCCGTGATTGATGTGCCCTGATGGTAAGCTTTCAGAATGGAGCCCCGAAGTCCCTCCTACAATTTTGAATCACAAGAGCTATTGGGAACCCAGGAATCATATTCCCCTGGTCGTTTACTAGGGGGACCCCCTTGTAGCGGGGATGCATCACTTTTGCGTGTGATACCACCTGTTAGTAGGACGGGTTTATTGATCTGGGGCCAACATTACAATCAAAGCCAACTCAGGTGACCCTCTGGTTAACAGCAAGACCACAAGAACGCCCCTAAGTGTATTCCCAGACTTCTAGCTTCCTAAGCAAAGCCACTCATTAATTGGCACAATTGAACCATCCCCTGTACATTGCTTGCCCTAGGGGTTGCAAACGAGCGCTTGCCATGGCTTGTAGATGGCGGTGTCTTTTTCTATGGGACACCCCTAAATGGTGGTGTTGCTTTGGGCTTCCCAAAATGGTCCTCTCATTAAAATAAAGTCCAGAAACTCAGGGAGTGCGATGGAATATACGATGGCCTTCTTCGTGGTGTCGCAAATGGCTGGACACGGCTTGGGGGAAGCTGTCTGTATGCCCACCCTCGCGTCGCTAGAGCCGCATCAGTAGGAATCGAATGTCACGACGCCGGAATCATGAAGCTCAAGATCCACAGGGGTCCGTCCTTTTTTTGAGGGACCCCCTTTGTTGGTGATTTTTAAGGGAAGCCAAACAAAAACAAGGAAAAGCAGCTATGAATCCACTGCTCACTTGCTGTTTTTCCTGTAGGGTCACTGAAAATGGGGGTGCCTTTTTTTGCATCTTCCTGCTTCCAGAAAAAGAAGAAGACAAATCACACATGTTTGGTGGTTTTTCCTTTTGGTTTCCCCCCCAAAAAAATACACCAGCATAGACCCCAGATAGCAATGATTGCACACCAGCACCTCCAACAGCACCCCCCGAAGAGCGTCCCAAACAGCACCCGGCCGTCAATCGAGCACCCGCGCCATCACTAGCACCTCCAGCAGCACCCCAAACAGCATCCCAAAACAGCACCTGCAGCAGCACCCCAAACTGCATGCACCCTGCACCCTGCCGTCAATCTCCCAAAAATGCGCCTGCACCGTCGCCCTAAGAGCGCCCCAAACAGCACCCCCCCAAACACCCAGCCGCACCCCAAACAGGATCCCAAAACGCCACCTGCACCAGCACCCCAAGCTGCATGCCCCCTTGCACCCTACCGTCAAGATGCAAAAATGTGCCTGCACCGTCACCTGCATGCCCGATAGCACCCGGACGTCAATATCGCAAATTGCGCCCGCACCGTCACCAGCACCTCAAACAGCTCCCCAAACAGCATCCCAAAACACCACCAGCACCAGCACCCCAAACTGCATGCTCCCGTGCACCCTACCGTCAAGATGCAAAAACACCGTCACCCCCAAAACAGCACCTGCACCAGCACCCCCAAACTGCATGCCCCCTAGCCCCCTACCGTCAATCTTGAAAAGAGCCATCAGCACCTCAAACAGCACCCCAATCCGCAAAAACCAGCACCCCAAACTGCACGCCCCTTAGCACCAGCCCATCAATCTCGCAAATCACTTCCCCCTCTTTATTAGAAGTTAGAACCCCTATAGCTTTCAGCTATCTGGGGAAAAACAACAAATTGGGGGTCCCCAAAAGAACAGACCCCTGATCGCGTCAGCATCGGCGTCGTTTCGGGCTCCGGTTTCGGCCCGGCGCACCTCGCCTCACCATGCCAGCACCGCCCCGTCGGCGCGTGGCTCCGTGCCGCCCTGCAGCACGCCGGAGGCATCGCGGCCTGGAGCCAACGTTCAAAGGGATTTCCGCAAATTCGGACGGAGCCAACGAAAAAAAAAGAAAAGAAATCAAACAAACAAATAAAATCCGCAACTTCTATGTGAACTTCCGGGTTCCCTTGTGAGGAAATTGATTCTTTCGGGGGGGTCCTCTGACTAGTCCGGATTGTTCCGAAGTTGACATTTTTGTGGATGGACAGATTCCATTTTGCGCCAGTTGGGATAAACGCAACCTGGGGAATACTGAGATAGATCACTGCCTAGCCATCCATAGCATGTCCGATCCCCTAGTATGGGACCATCACGGTGAGCTCGTTTTACCCCAGAATGAGCTTGCCATAAAATAACCATACCAATCAAAGGAATCCAGTAGAATCAAACAGCTCACCACTAAAGGCCCCAGTACTTGAGTCACTTGGATGTTGAGGGAGAATCAACCCGGTGGATTATGGGGGGGGGGGGGGGCAGCAGGCAAAAAATACTGTACAAATGTCTCCTGATCTCCACATGCGCTGAACATCAGCCAATCTCTGGAGCAAACGGGGGACCATATGCACATAGGTTGCCTTTTGGCAAAATAGATGGCCCTGTTAAACGGGGAAAAAAACACAAAAAACATCTAACCCGGTGCCATCTATTTTTAACCAGGCTCACCTCAAAAGGATGCATATGAATCTGGTATCCGCTACTTTGGGTCAATGAGGCGCATGCGCACCCCAAAATCCGAGGGCAGCACGATGAGGCGCTAGGTTCTCCAGTAGAGAGCTTAGAATAGATTGGTACCAACTTTTTCTCTCTGTAGTCTATTTTTAGTAAGGGCTTGCCCTCCCTTCCCCAAGAAAGGGGTGAGAGGTCGAAACGGCACCAATTGCCGGGGGACCGCCGGCCGCTCGCCAAGCAATTGCCACTTAAGCTCCAACTTGGGTCCCAAGTCGACCAGCTCTTCTCATGGGAAAATCGATCCGGCAGTTTTTTCGCCCTGGGGGGAAGCACCCGGAGGTTTTTTTTTCTACGGCCCCCCCCCCCCCAAGAAACCCAAGCGCTCCCAAATGGCCATGGGTCAAACGCCAAATCGTAACCCCAGTAAACATCCCACTCCCCACTAAAATAGGTTCTAAAATGGGTGGTGAATTCACCTACCCTAAAATACAGCCAAGACCACCCGCAAAAACTGGGGCCCAAGTGGCCATTCTTTTGGCCGTCAAAAGCTTGCAGTTCCTCGCAACCAGGTGGCTTTTTTCTGGCTTACTGCGGCTTTTCGTTGGTTTACGCGGCGTTTGGTGGCGTTTTTGGCGTTGGTTTTTCGCACCCTCTGCCTTCCCAGTTCAAATCTAGGGGTAACTTCCCCATTCTTTCCAGGGATCCTTCTTTCTACAAAACCACCGAAAGCCCTGGGGAAATGGCTGGTTATTGAAAAGAACGATGGCTGAAAAGAATGGCCAAGGGAATCAACCCCTAGCTTGAATCTGGGCGAGGGTGTCCTTTCAGTGGGAACCAACCAATGGGACCCAAGCTGGGCCCTCCAAAGAGGTCAGAACAAGGGTACCCGAATTTTTGTTCCGTCGTCTATTCTCGGTTGCGAACTCTGCTCCCCTGCTAAAAGTGAATAACTTTTAGTGGTTTAGTACGGAAAACCCAATGGTTGGCAAAAAGTTCTCGAGTCCTAACATGCCTTGGCAAAAGGCACCAAAGCATTTTAGTAGAACCCTCCCAACCAAAAAAAGGGGTAAAAGAGCGGACCTAGGCCAATGGAACCCAAGGCCGAGGCACAAATCACCTGACCTCGGCCGAAGACGTGGCGCTGCCAGCCCCGCACCACGCGGCAGTGGTGACCCATCTGGCTAAGCGCCTCCTTTCCGTGCGGCCCACTTGAGTCATGATCAAAACCCGGAAAAAAAATGGTCGTAATCCCAGAACCGTGCAAAGAATTGAGAAGGCGGCCGCAACTATTTCTGGCTGGGACTGCCCCTTACTAACCTTCCCGGGTTTTGACTGCGGCTCACTTGAATTTGCCTGCCAACCAAGTGCCTGGCAGCTCCGAAAGGCTCCCTTCCAGCCACGAGCTGAGTGGGTTTTGGACCCCAAAATTATGGTTTTCCCTCTTGGTTTACTCACTTCCTGAGTGGCTGGGCCAAATTTAGCACTACAACGGTCTTCTCACAAGCATAAAGTCCAGGAACTCAGGAAATGAGTTTCCCTTTATACTCACCTGCAAAGGGTACCAACTTGCGAAAACATGGATTCCTGATGGGCAAATGGTTTGGTGAAACAAAAGGAAAACACTAGGGCGGCAATGACACAGAAAACAGTGCCAACACTTCTCAGCCGTCCAGTGGGGTGGGGCCAGCATTACACATGACTTAAACTTCCATTTGCTTAAGCCCCCTGAGAAAAATGAACATATGTCCAGTAGTGATGGGAAAATCAAACATATTCTTAAGCGAATAAATGTATCTTTTGTGGAATCCCCAAGGCCTAAGACTCCCTGAGGATTGCTTTGGAGCCCTAATGCACCCTAGGGCTCTTAACTAACCTACCGCCTTAAAGATTCCATCCTTTTCATGTCCCTGCAAAATCGACCGGGGTATTGGCTTGGTTGACGTTGAAAGGGGAGCAACATTTACAAGTTTAGCAGTTAAGTGGGGATTTCCCACTAAACCACAATAAGCAAACATGTAATAACATGTGTCCCAACAATAACCGAGATTGCTGTTTGACATCTTGCCAAACCTCTCCATGGGAAACTGGAGGGGCCGGGTCCCTAAATGTTGAAACACCCCTGTACTACTGGTTGCTTGAGTGCCCTCAAGAAACACAAATTGTCAGTACTAATAGATTCCCTTAAAAGCGATAATGGCAAACATATTCTGAGATGCAAACGGACGTCTTTAAGGGGGTCCCTTTATTTCACAGCAGGGACCTCTCATAAAGAAAGTCGATTTTCATCGGGTTTGCCTTTCAAACCACAGCACAAGGGCCACCCCCAAAAAACAGGACAAAGACAACCTGTTGTTTTCCGTTTGGTTTCCCTTTAAGGCATCAGAAAAAAAGGGGCACTCTCAAAAACAGACAAAGACGTTGCCCTGCAAAACTACAGAAAAAGGGGGCGCCCTCAAAAACACACAAAGACCAACTGCTGTTTTCCTTTTGGTTTCCCTTTCAAACCGCAAAAACAAGGTAGTTTTCTGAGAATCCCAACATTTCCACCGTGCCAAGACATAAACCGTGCGCCGTGAGCCATGTCCTGCACATCCTCCGGGATGCCTTCCTCCAGCAACAGCTGCGCCCCTTGGGCGCTCTCAGGCCCAAGGGCGCTGTTCACGCCTCACCGCCGGGGTGATGGGAACTCGGGAGATGTTCCGCAGAAAAAAAACGTGGAAAATACTAAATAAATAACAAACACATAGCTAAATAAATAGATATATATATATATATAAAGCTAGGTCTTCCAGATGTGAGGTTAGAATAAGGGTACCTTTGTTTCCTATAGCTATATAGGTGCTAGGTCTTCCAGATTTGAGAGGTTAGAATAAGTTGGTACCAACTTTTCCCTGGCAAACAGAAACGTCGCCTAACCCTGCTTGATTAAAACACAATCCTCGAGGGGGGGGGGGGTGCGGGGCACCGGGGGTGGGGGAGCCAACAACCTGTGAGGTACCGTGGAGGCCCGAAATATTGCAAGCAAGGGAACAAGGAAACTCTCTAATTTGCTGTGATTGACCATGGGTTTGTGGTTGATGGCGAGTTGACCTGCGATACTTGGGCCATGCGTACCAAAGGAGCCTCAAATGTCGCCTCCGGAAACGGATCTCTTGCACCAGGGCGCATGGGTCTGAGACACTTCGAAGAGGGGGGCACCCCCTTTCTTGTCGATTTTGCAGAGAAGCCACAAGAAAAAAACCACCCATTTGGCGGGTAGTAAAACAAAAACACTTACACACTCACGCTCACACCACATAACTGATGCCTGCGTTTTGTTGGTCTGAATTTCGCCGTTTTCTGAAAGTCGCTTCACATTCCTCCCCCCCCCCCCCGCGCATAACCCCAGGAAAATCCCCCCCGCAGCTGCGCGGCCTTGGAGGCAGAAGCGTGGCTGGTCCAAGGCAGCCTGCGGGTCCAGGCCGTAGTCTGCCATAGCGCACAGCACCTCTGGGCCAAACCCGGCGTCTCGTTGTTTTTTCTTTTTCTAGCTCAAATTAAAAGGCTACTAGGTCCTCCAGTAGAGAGGTTAGAACAAGGGTACCCGACTTTTTTTCTATAGTCTATTTTAGTAGGGGAACCCTTCCAACCAAAAGAGGGTAAAAGGGCACTACTGGGGAACGCTAGGGTCGCGCAGGTTTTAGTAGCATGTTCCAGTTACCAAGTTGCCATTTTGGTACATGTTTTAGAAGCACGGCCACCAGGGGAAACCTCCTGATAAAGTTCCATATTGGTGTCCAGTTTTGAGGCTACATAGCCTTTTATTGGGGTTAGGTTTCAGGGAAACCAAGAGGTTCCACATCATGTTTTGAGACAAGCCCATATCGATTTGCGAAAGGGTTTGCGCTTGAAACTTCTCACTTGCTCCTTTGCTCTTCAAACATGAAACGGCTCATTTGGCCATGATTTTTTAACAGAAGACCCACCTCATCACGGTTTTCCATTTGGTGTCCATTTAAATTGAAACCAGCCCTAAAAGGGTACCAAGTGGAGCCCATTTCGGCCCACATTCAGCCGCTGGGTTTTACGCCATGGTCTCGACTCCAGTGACGAGACGCGGACTCAGGGAGGTGTCAACATCCAACCTCGGGGTTGAAAAGGCCTCAAGGGGTTTGCCTCCAAGATATGGAACCCTCAAAATGGTCGGTGGTTTCCTGTTGAGTTTCCATGAGGTTCCATCCAAAAGGGGTACCGAGCCTCAGAAACTAAGCACACGGCTGGCGTCCCTTTTTTTTTTTGGGAATCGGAGCCCCAGAATGGCTTCGGTGTTCAAAACTTGTGGTTTTTCTTGGTAACCCAAAAGCCGCCACCCACCAAAAAAAAAACGCGCCTCCCAACCAAAAGGCGAGTGAGAGCAGGGGGGTCTTCTTGCCACCTTTTGTGAGAAAATTGGCGACCCCCTCAAAAAGGAATCCTTCACTATGAGGGGGCTCGATCACTTTTCCACGAAAGCTGGCAAAAAGACCCCCTTGAGTGGGAGCAGCCCCTTGTTTCCCTTCAAAACCAGCCACGGGGCTCGTGTTTTTCACGTGGCCGGGCCCCGGGTTTTTGCCGCGGCCGAGGCGCCTGTAGATGGCCCTGGGGCTGCATGAAGCCTCCCATGACCCCCAAAGTACAGAAGAGCTCCTGGTCCTCACCAGGCGAACCGGAGACAAAAAAAACGGGTGCTCAGTGGTGGTTTCCTTAGGGACCGATCCCCGGGATCATGCCCACAAACTCCCTGAGGTCAAATGTCTTGTGGTCTCCTTTAAATGGAATGTTGGGTTCATTCCATCATTCCCTGAGGTCAGGTACCGGAAACATGTCCAGAAACGTGTTTAAGGTCAGGAGCTCGGGAAGTGAGGGAGGGGGTGTGTCCCTAACCAGAACTCCGATCGCTAGCTCCGAAATTGGGGAGACCATGTCTCGACTTTTGGCCCTTGGCCATCAAACACCTGGACAAAGGAGTCCGAGAGCCCGAGGATCTGGAGCAAATAACCTAGAACCTCGAATCCAAAACGTGTTTTTTTCTTTTTTTCGAACTCTATGTTTTAGATTGCGGATTCTAGCGGGTTTATTACGCGTTTTGCACGTGTGAATTCCAAAACCCGGCTTCAAAGGCTGTAGGGCCCAGGTTTTTGAGACGGAGCCTCCTTTCTTGTGGGTTTTGATTTATAAGGCAGCCCTTAGTTGGCGGCTTGCATTCGTGGTTTGGGGATTTGGCTCTTGTTGAGGGTACAGCTAGGGATCTGTCTCGGAATTTTGTGAGACTTCTGGAGGCGGGTGTTCCTTTTGGTTCCCGGGAAAACTCGCCCAAAAAGAGTGATGTGGCCAGGGGTCAAAACCCAAATCGTACCCCCGGTGAGCATCCCAATCCCCACCAAAATAATTAGACTAAAATGGGTGGTGCACCTCAGAATGGTACCCTTGGTTTTGACCACCACGGCCATTGCTTCAAAAACGGTTTCAATTCCGACCGGGACACAATAAGTTCTCACTTGCCCAAAAGACCTGGAAACAAATGGTGATCACCTTTTCGGACCTTTACTAAAAATGGGATCCCAAAATGGGAAAACCAACAGGTCAAAAGGGCTTTGGGCAAGAAGTGTCTTTCAAAGCCGCCATTTCTCCTTCGGGATGGGTTCCTTGGGACTGTGCGCGAATCAACAAGCTTCCGTCCAGATTTGAGAGCTTGGAATAAGTTGGTGCCGTTTCTTTTTTCTATCTATTTTGGTAGGGGCTTGCCCTCCTCTTTCCAAAAAAAAATGGTAAAAGAGAGCACCTAGCTGGACCTAAGGGTTGGTGAGCTACCCAATGCTACCCATCTTTAGGCGCACAAGAAACGGCAACGCCCAGGCTGTTCGGCCCTCCTCCTCCTTGGTCACCAGACCGGGGATAATGGTGTGATAGCAGAACTTGCCTCAGGAGTTGCTCTCGCCTCTGCCACATAGGTGTCCTTTTAGGGAAACAGAGGGCCCTGGTAGATGATTTCACCACCAGGTAAACCAGGGCCATCCATTTTTCTAGCCAAACAACCCAAAAAAGGACACCTATGCTCTCCCATTACTTGGATATTCAAACAACTTAGCAGTCAGTGGGTCGTAACCTTAATTCTAGGCGTCAATTCCCCATTCTTCTCAACCATCCTTCTTTCCAAAAGAACGGATCCGTGTTCCCTGGGTTTCCGAGAAAAATCCGGATCCCCGGAACGAATGGACATGGAAGGCACCCCTAGAAGTATAGCCGGTGTGACTGGGGTGATCGTCGCCATAGAACCATGGTTACAACCTACTTTCCTAACGTTGGTTGAACACCCACGTAGACGTTGTCCCATCGTTGCAAAGTTCAGCTTTGCAGTATTCCGGATGGAGGATCAGGGCTTTCAATTTGAACATTTTAGTGACAGTTTTGTGATTAGTAAGTGAGTGTCTAGCACTTTTTGAAGTGATAAGGGGGCGGTGTTTGTTTGCTTCCAAAAGTGATGAAGAACCCTTCCTATCAATATAATCTGGTTGTTGGTTGATTAAATATGGGGTGGACATGAGTGACTTCGTGCTGACTACAGGGAGGGAACAAGCAACAGTATCCAATTGGTACATTCCACCCATGAATCTGGAAAATCAGCGCGAAGCACATATAGCTAACTTAAGCAGGTCAAAGCTAGTTTAGACCAGAATGTATTTTGCTTTGGTAAGGTGAAGGGTCAGCTACCAAGTAAATCCTTTTCCCACTTCCTATCGAGTGGATCGGCCAAGGAAAGTATCAATTGTTCTCAACACCAATTAAAGTGGCGAAAACGCAAAACAGTGTCAAAGGTGTGAGGTACCCTCAAATTTAGAACTAACTAGTTTGCAAGCCCTAGTTTTGGCGTGCTCATCCCAACACAGACCAAGAAACGTCGCACCAACCGCGGGCACTCGCTTGGGCCCAGCGGCTCGGCCCCACGCAGTTGGGGTGGCCTTCGCGGATGATGAAGTTGTGCCCTCCTCGGATCTGTGTCTGGAGCCGCGGAAACTCAAATGCCCAGTAGATTTGCATGGGAAGCAAAAAGGCTCGGCCTCCTTTTTGGGTTGGTAGACTTTGTTCAGGACTCAGGACTGGGAGCCCAACCACCCCCCCCCCGCAAAAAAGAAAGAAGAACAAAAAGCTGGAGAAAAAAAGGGAAGCAACCCGCTGGTTTCAACAAGGCTGACCAAATAAACCCTGGCCCCAGCCCAAGTTTCAGCGGAAATGAGGCACTTGGCGGAAGCCACTTACAACCATACTGTGGGTGCACGAAATCGGAAAACCGCACCACTTTGAGTCCATGGGAAACCACAGTTTGCCGGTATTTACAGGGGAATCATCATACCGGGGTTTCCTAGGTGGTGCGAAATGGAGTTCGCCCATCCACAGTATGTTGCTCATCTTCCATGTGCTTATTCGCCCCCTGGCAAAAATATACATATGTCCAGTTCCTTTTAAAACCAATAGGGAAGATAAAAGATATTCTTAAACAAACGGGCGTCATCTGGTCAGTGGGGTGACACTCAATGTCACAAGAATCTGGGGGGGACAACTTTCTGTTTGTCAGTGGGGGGGGAACTTTCTTTCACATCAAGCTTCAGGGCGAAAACTCCCCCCACTCACTTCCGATCGAGTGGATCGGCCAAAGAAAGTGTTGACTGTTCGTTTTACTGCTGAATGGTCTGCTCAAAACGTTTTTCAGGATGAAGCCCACGATCTCAGGGAGTGAGCCAAACAGCCGCCAAGGAATGTTTTCTAAATCAATAGCTCCATCTGGCCACATGTTGCAGAAAAACACGTCTCTGTGAAGCTGGTGGGGGTTCGCTATGACTATCTGGCCACTCCCGCTCGCGTATCTGAAGTCCAGGAACTTCCGGAGTGAGTGCAAGACTCCCTTCGCCCACACGTGGCAGAGCCCAAACTGCTACCCTGCAGCAACACAAATAACAAAGAGGGCGAGCGTCCCTCAAATGCTAGAGCTTTCTCATTTGGGTGTGGCTCAAAATTAAACAGGAGGGGTTACGCAGGTTTTGGTCCACTTACCAGGGTTCCATTTTGGTACAGGTTTTTTGAGCCACAGCCATTTAGAGATGTTGCGGAGTGGTTTCCCATTTGCCCCCCTGTCCACATCTACAAATGATCATGCTCCGATTCTGCTTCACCGGGAATCTGGCCGAACATATGAAACCAGGCAGGACCAGCTACCACAACACCTTCATTTGCTTAAGTCCCCTGATAAAAAAGCAAAAATGAGCCGAGTAGTCATACATTCAACCTCTTTAAAAGCAACAGGGAGGAAGCAAACATATATTAAGCAAATGGAAGACCCTTCAGTCATGTCGTAGGTTCCCTTTAAAAACCAACAGATGCCCAGTGGATGTCCATGGGGAAAAAAGGCATCCTTTTTTGGTTGCGTTTAAAGGGGAGCCTTTCCCCCAAAAACAGTTGAACAAAGGGGCGGAATCCTCTTGGCAACTGGGCAGAAGCAAATGTCCAGCCCTTGTTTTTATGGCGTCAAGCTTGATCCCTGGCCAAGCAGCGGTTCTGTAACGTGAAGCCGCACCCGTCCTCAGAAGAACGAAATGAGTTGCAAGCTGTTCCGATGTTTTTGCATAGCGATGTTGAACCGAAAAAAAATGGTTGCAACTACAAACATGGCGTATCTAAAAACCGCGTAAACAACCACCAGGGCGGGTGCCCTTCTAATTGTCGTGACTGTCCCCCGACTTCCCTTGGTTGCTGCAACGAGCCCTCTGCCAAAGGATTGACTTCTTGTGGATCCGATTCGGGAAACCCAAAATACGTCAACCAAAAGTCAAAGTCTAAGGATCCAGCCCAATAGCAATCAAGCTACAAGTTTGGCTTTAGAACAGCGGCCCGAGAGAAAGAGTGGACCAGTGGACCTAGCCACAAACATAAAACTCGGTTTTCTCGTCATGTTTCAACCTTCGGAACCCCCTCAAAATGGCAAAGAAAAAGTGTTCCTTTTGTTTTCTAGTCAAAACCCTGAAAACCAGACATACCCAACTTGCGCCTGCTTGCTTGATTAACGGAGCCCGGCCGTCGGCCAGGGGGCACGCCCAGCTCGTATTTCTCTGAGGGTTGTGAGGCTTATTCGGAACCAGTTGGGAATTCGCCATAATCCCCGAGTTGCTTTAGGATTTTGCTCCGGTCAAAGTAGATTTTGACTAGGTCCTCCAGTAGAGAGGATAGAATATTGGTACCCTTCTTTCCGTAGGGGAACCCTCCCAAAAAAAGGGTACTGGGGGGACCTAGTATATTTTGAGTTGCCCCGAATTCTATCGAAGGAAACCTTAGGGTTTCGGAAAGGGCGGAAAGACCAAATGCCCACAATGCACTGAACCGTCCGTCGCCCAAAGCTTCAAAGAGCCCACTATCCCGCCACCTGGGCTACAGCATATTAGTATTCCAACTGACCAGCAAGTCACTCAGGTGGCTTCCAGCATCCCCCCTACCTTCCTCAAGAACGGGGCTCAGAACTATAGTGGTTCTCGGGGATTTGGGCAATACTGGTTGCTTTCCCTGTGACCAGCCTGGCCAGTGGCTCCTCGGTCCCCCCCATCCTTGAACACATGCGCTATCTCATTAGCGTAAATCCTGAGGCCAAGCAAATAGACACTAAAGTAGGCTAAGCAAAAGAACGAAAATACAGGAAAACAAACAAACGGAAGAACTGTGTCACTTTTCTACCCAAACGTGGTTTGGCCATTCCATTGAGGTGCCTAAGCAACCTGATGGATTGAGTAAAGCATCCCTTCCACGGCCATATGGCCATGGGTCAAAATACCGTACCCTCAGTGAACATCCCAATCCCCACTAAAATAGGTTCTAAAATGGGTGGTGCGCCTACCCCAAAATGGTTGCTGTTGACCCCCCTGCAAAGAGTTTAACTTTTTGGGGGTTTAGTGGAAAACACCATTATTTCAAAAAAACAAGTCTAAAGATCCAACCCAATTGCAGTCAAGAATGGTACCTTGTTTTTGAGCCATGGCCATATGGCGTGTCATGTGTCAACCGGGGAACACATCCTGACCATGAAGTTTTTCTGGGGAACCACCGAACTCCAGCGGCGGACACGAATCGGGGAATCCCCACCGAATTATGACTTCCATTTGCTTTTTTGCCGAGAAAAAAACCTGTCCAGTATAGTGATCGATTCTTGTTAAAACCAATTGGGGAAATTCAAAACAACTATTCTTAAAGCAACGGAAGCTGATGTCCACCATTTCGGGCCCCGAAATGGATGGACGAGATGCTGCACCACTTCGGATAGTTTCGGGTTTGGCTTTCACTCTGGCTTCTGCTTGGTTTGGTAGTCTTAGCATAGTTTGGGGTGGGTGTGGGTTTGATTCTGATCGAGTTCACGGTTTCTTTAGGAGGCTTTTCGCAGGCTTATCCAAGAGACGGCAAAGGAATTTGGACCCCCAAACTGGTCTGCCTGTTGGTACGTACAGGGTAATCGAATCGGAAACTAGGGTTGCTCAATGGTGGACGTCTAATACCCTAAGTCCGAAACATGCAGCACCACCCTGGTTTTTGTTTTTGTGACAGCCTGGCAGCCTGGCCGAGGGGCCGGGACAATACCAGTACCGAAGCCCTCATAGTTCGAGTTGATGAAGGAGCAGGCGTTGCCCCACTGATCAACGGCGGCCAAGTAGACCTGCCGGATTTACCGATCGAGTGGATTGGCTGAACAATAGACTCAAGCGAATCGAGGGTACCACCCAGGTGTCAGCGATAGTGAGAAAGGGTGTGACCATTCGTATTCCTCACTTCCGGCGTGGATTTGCAAAACAAAGTCCAAACTTGTCCTCCATTTGCTCTGCTTAAGTCCCCGAAAAAATAAACATATTTCCAGCAGTGATAGATTCCCTTTAAAACCAACAGGGGGAAGTATAACATATTCTTAACCAAATGTAAGCTGTCTCTTACCACGAAAATGGTCCTCCCAGAAAGCGACACAAGTGGCGGGGGCGGGGGGGGGGGTCCATCTCTTGCTGGTGCGATAGGCAGGAAATGAAACAAAAAAAAAAAAAACATCCAACTGGTGGCTTCCTCTAAAAGGACCAAGCCAGGGTTCATTCCATTTCTCATTCCCTGCTGGAGCCGGGAAAAAGGGGTGAGAAAGGGCACTACTGAAAGACCCAGACTAAAATGGTCTGCACTGGGGAAGTGAGCACGGCTGTTCTCTCCCGACAAGTTAGGCCAAGGCAAGCCCGGGCTGTGAGATTCACTGGCCTCATGATTTTGCCGTGATCAAAGGCACCCCCCTTCAGTGGTGGGTTAAAGGGAAACAAACTCCATTTCACTTTGATCACCCCAGAAACCGTCGAACTAATTACCCCTGCTCAAGAAAGGTGCGATGGATTGGTGGTGTTCTTGCCCCCTACAACTCCATTTTCTGACTTCAGGCCCCAGAAACCGGAAAAAAACAAAAAAATACCCCGGTTCTTCAGCTCCATCATGATTTGGAGCCGGTGGTTTGGTGGAGGTGTTCCGGGGCGTGTTTTCCCATTAAGGCTTCAATTCACAGCCAACCTCCAATCCAAAAATCACCGATGGTTGCCTGAGAAAGGAAGTGATGGGCAAGTGGCCTCAGGCTTGAGTTCCATGAAACCTTGCAGAGTCTGCTCGGGGCTGGCCTACCCACCTTCAAGTGGGAAAAACGTATCCCTGCATCCATTCTGTGCGACGTGCCAAAGGGAAATATGTCGGTTGTTCGGGGTACGATCCCCCCATCACCCGTACATGACTTTGCCCAACACAAAGTGACATCTCTTAGATATAGACTATAGAGCAAAGCTGCGAATCGCAAAAAGCTTCAAACATCCCAGAGCCGCAACAAGCGGGCGTCTTTGGCGAGACTACCCTTGGGTTAAGCCAAAGGGAACCTAAGGACTCAACCTGGAGGTTCCCCCACTCAAATGAATGTATGATGCAGGGGGCCCTCGTTTTGCTTCAAGGGACGCTAAAGCTTGGCTGCTGCTGACCTCTCTGCACAAAACAATGTGGGTCCAATGGAAAATCCCCCGTTTCCCACGAAGTGAAAGTCCAAAGACCCAACCAAACAGACATCAACAAAAGAAAGCCAATTTTGCTAGTTGTTGTTGTTGTTGTTGGTTGGTTGGTTTTTTTTGTGGGGGGCGCACTTTGAGAAACACGCCACTCCGCGCGCAGGCCACCACCCGGACTTGTCCGATCTTCCGGACTTTCGCCCGCGAGCGCTTCGAGCTCAAAGCTCCGGCGGCGCAAAGGCTGCTTTGAGCTCGCTTGGCGCGCCGGAGGTGTATGCAGGGGCCACTTGCGGCACGGTCAAAATTTGATCGGTTTCCTCGGTTGCTTTCTGCTCCCCTGCTACAAGTTTTCAGCTTCTTGTGTTGTTCAATACGGAAAACCCACTAGTTGGCAAAAAGTGAAAGTCCTAACATTTCCTTGATGCGGGTCATTTATATAAGTCAGTTCCCCCACGTCCCCCCCCCAAACAACAAGTACCGTAGACAACTTGCCATCTTGACCGAACCTTCGCACAGCCGCTGGCAATGAACCTCTGGATTCGCCTGAAAAAACTGGCCCCGTGGGAAATGAACGATTGAATTTGTTGGACCCACGGAGCAATGGCTAGAGTAGAGAGGTTAGAACAAGGGTACCCTTTTCTCTGTAGCCTATTTTAGTAGGGGAACTCTCCCAACCAAAAAAGGGCAAAAGGGCCCCCTAAGGTCTTCTGTGGGTTTTCCAATCGAGCCTCTTCCAAGGCTGGCTTTGGGCACAAGTTTCCCGCAAGCTGGCTCATGCGTGAGGCAAGAAACGGATTTTAAGAGATAGGACGGCGGGCGAGCACTTGCTTTTCAAAAAAAACGGTGCACTCGTGGGGTGTCCTCCTTCCATTTGAGCCGAGAGGCCCAAAAGGGGCGATCTGCTTTTTGGTGGCTCTCAAGGGAGGAAAAGGCAAACGGCCGCTGGAGGTCTGGGGACATACGGGGGGGAGCAAGGCGCACGCGGCATTGGCAAGAGCCATCAGCTCTTCTTAACCTCCTATCCTACCCTGTCCGCGTAGGGGCCTCTTGCTGGCAGCCCTTCCAGGTCGATTTTTGAAGAGAAACCTACATGAAAAATGAATAATGTTGGGGTCCGCTATTATAAATTAAGACAGCCGTTGCCACGGAACCAAATCACTCGGGGCCTCCAGTCAGAGGGCATGGCGTAACTCCCAGAAGCTCACTGCCTAAATCAGCTCACTGCGATTTCTTCTAGGTGCAGTAGGGAGGATAGAATAAGGGTAGCCTTTTTTCTGTAGTCTATTCTAGTAGGGGCACCCTCCCAACCAACAAAAGGGTGAGAAAGGGCACTACTGTGGGATCTAGTTGTCGCAGCTGATATCCTTTCAGGGGCGTCGCCACCCCGCCCGAATGGGGGAGGAGGGGGGGGGGGTCTGTAGTGACAAACCGACCCTCCCAGAGGTTCATCCGACGCGGCACAAAAAGATTTGCGCGCGGCGCACGCCGCGGGATGGGAAAACTCGGAGCGGGCGCTGGAAACCCCTTGCAAATGGGCAGGCTGCATTTGGATGTGTGGCTTGGAGGTGGGAAAAAACATTAAAGTCTGTTTCACGTGGAAGCGTTTGATGCAAGGTTGACCAATTGTGAGCCGTTCGTGAAACAAGCGGCCCTCTGCAATCAACCGAAACTGGGCTGTCTTCAGATCCCCTGCCCAAAAAAACAACAAAAAACATGGGCCAAAAAACAAAAACTAAAAACTTTTGGGTTGAATGGAAACCGCGAAATCCCTTCAAACCCAAAAGCCAAGGGAACCCAACGCCTGGGACAAATCCAACCAAAAGTTCCAGGCCGTTGGGCCGGCTCAGCGCCGATCCGCGGCGGCATCCTGCTCCTTCTTGGGCACCAGCCAAAGGAGCGGAGAATACACCACGCACGCGCTGGCGTACACCAGCGAGGTGATGAGAAACGTGTACCTCGGGTGCCGCAAGGTCGAATCCCGGTTTTCTTGTGGCCCAAGGTAAGAGAAATGGAACCCGAGGTCGATTTTGTGGCGCTAAAAGACGTGTCAGCTTGCAGTCAATTCACGGCGGGTGCAGCTGGGCTCCGCGGGGCTCAGCGGTTTGGCTCGGTGGCTCTTTGGGGGACGGTCGCTGGGCCAGGGCTTGCGGTTGGAAGCGAGCTGTCGGTTTGGGGTGTGCCATTGCCGCTTGTTTTTAGGTTTTGTGTTTTTTTTGGGTGTGTGTGTGCAATATGGCTGGTTTTTAGTGTGTTTTTTTTGGTGACTGCAATATGGCTGGCGGTTGGAAGCGAGCTGTCGCTGGCTCGGAGTCCGATCCAAATTCGGCGGTTGCCCAGGTTTCAGGTCAGTTGGTGGCCTGGTGGGGACTGGTGGGTTTGAACCCCTTGCTATGAACTTGCGCCCGCAGTTGGACATTCAGCCCAAATTGATAGGTGTCCCACTTGGGTGCTGCTGCTGCAACGACCCCCCCTACAGAAAGTGTGTTTTAAACCTTTTGGGGGGGGGGTTGCTACGGAAAACCCCAACCTGATGTCAACCAAAAAGTGTTAAACGTCTCAAGATCCAACCCAATAGCAGTCAAGCCCAAAGAAGACCCCTAAGAAAAACAACTCCGAGCCGCTGGTAGTCCCGCTGATCCGACAGCAGGCCACCCAGAAATGCAGACCCGCTCCAGGTCATCGAAGTGAGGCTGTTGATGGCGTTCCTTCAAAAGGCAAGGGCCTAAATAAAGAAAAGAAGGATTTCAGTTTTGGGGTACTTTAAAAACCAACTTTAGAAATTAATCTAGAGCTTTCTGTTAGTGATCTTGAAGACCCTTATGTTGCGCGAATTTTAGACCAAGTTCCCCACATATCCCACAACACGACCGTCACAAAACATGGGCTTGGCTCAGAGGTCGCCGATTTTTTCCACGGAACTGGTTCCAATGGTCCCAACTCCATTGATCTCGTCTTCTTAAAAGAAACCATGGAACCACAAGTGGAATTTCACCTAGGTCCTCCACTTTGAGTATGGGGAACCCCCCCCCCAAAAAAAAAGGGGTAAAACGGCACTACTGGGGGACTGGTCACCCTCCCCCAATTCCATCGCCCCCTTGGATCAACTCTTAGACCAAGAAATGGAATGAACCTGGGGATTCCAGTTGGATGGTTTATTTCGGGGTCATGATGGAGCTCCGCGTGCTAAGAAAACCACAAACACCGAAATATGCTGGGTTCAACCAAAAACCACCAAACAGTCGGAGGTCTCCGAGACAACTGCGGCGCGAGTATATCTTTTAGGCACGCCCAAGTGGCCAAAAGCCTCGCTCCGAGCTCTTGGTGAAGTCCATGAGGATGGAGCGGTCGATGGGGTAGGTACCTCGGCCGAAAGCAATGGGGCTGGCGAACTGAGCGGCGGATTTTTCCCCAAAAAGGAAGCCCAGCGGTAGGTTAGGGGGGTGCAGTTGGTTCCCTCACTTGCAATATTTAAGGCATCCACCGTGTCACTATACTAGGTCCTCCAGTGGAGAGGCCAGAATAAGGGTACCAACCTTTTGCTGTAGTCTATGTTAGTAGGGGAACCCTCCCCCCAAAAAGGGTAAAAGGGCACAACTGGGGGACCTGGGGACGCCTCTGGGTTCTCGAGTCTGCACCAGCCCAACAAATGCCAGAAGCTGACACCCCACCAAAAAATATCACAATCTGGTCCCAAAAAAGTGTCCTCTATAATATATAAATGGGCGGCTTTTGGGGGTTTCTTCCGGCACTAAACCTCCAGGGCCTGGCCCTTGCGGGTCCAAGGAGCTGTTGGCGAAGCCGCCCCGCGCCATGAAGACCAGCAGCAGCAGAGGCAGCCACTTCACCTGACCCCGGTGACACATTTCCACGCGGAACGGAACCTAGGCTGGAAAAAAGGGACCCCAGCAAAAAGAAGGAATAATATTTTTTCGCCTGGTTAGTGGAAAACAAAGGGACCCCAAAAAAGCAAAAAAAACAACAACAGGGGAGCTAACTCTGGGAAGGAACGAGTGACCCAGGACCTGTAACCTAAACAGACCCTAGATGGAAGTCGGCTTTCCTGAGTTATATTTCGGTTGTCCTTCTAATTAGTTTCTTTGGACACCACCTCACAAAATGCACAACCACAAGGATGCTGCAGGGAGAAACAAACCCACCCGACCCGCCGACCGCCGGTCACCGAGCGCCGGTTGCGTCCTCGCCTCGGCCATGATCCAAAGGCTCAGCACGGAGGAGCTAAAGAAGAGCAGCCTCGAAGCAAAGTTTGAATGCCCGAAGTTGTCGAAAGCCAAGTTGAGAAAATAGATGGCCCTGGTAGTTGGTTGAAACACCAGGTAAACCAGGAATCGCCCTCTATTTTGCAACCACATCAACCAAGAAAGACACCTATGCAAACATTCACTTCATTTCTTGGCTGCTGTTGACTCCCCTGCAAAAAGTTTAACTGTTTGGGTTTGGTGGAAAACACCTACTGATTTCAACTAAAAAGTTAAAGTCTCAAGATCCAACCCAACAGCAATCAAGCCGGGTTCCACCTCTCGGTTGCTTTCTGCTCCCCTGCTAAAAGTGAATAACTTTTAGTGGTTTAATACGGAAAGCCCATTAGTAGGCAAAAAGTTAAAGTCCTAACATCCAAGCAAAATGCACCAAAGACCTGATCTGGGTGAATTATAATATTTCACCAACCTGCAACAAGGTGGTTGAGGGGCTACTCCCCACATAAACCGCCATTTGGGGTGAGGTTGTGAGGTCGTTATAATTCACCCAGACCGTTTGACTACCCCCAGAGCAGACCAAAATTCAGGCGTGGTCCATTTCCCTCAAAGGGAGAACCCCTTGTTTCAGTCTATATTGAAATGTTCAAAGAGCGGAACCCTGGTGAGAATGGTTTTTTGGGGAATGTGGGACCTGACGCAATCCCGAAGCTCACAAAGGTGTTCGATCTGACGAACGAGGGAAATATAGGGAACCCCTGACCATATGTTCAAGCGAAGGTAGTGGGCCCTGGCAAGTGGGAGAACTGGGGATAGCTGACAACCATAGGCCGTCTATGTTTGGCCCAACACCAGGGCTACACAAAAAAAACAAGTTGTTTTGATTGACGGTTGTTTCGTCATGGAGCCCGCGAGGCGTCCTGTTTGGAGAAAATTGTCTTCCACCCCCCCCCCCCCCGAGTTTTCACCAGCCAAATCAAATGGGTCAGAATATGACCACCAAACGATTGCCCCTCGGGAATTTCATCCAAGTCGGGTCAACCAAGTTGCCTTTCTTTTCATGGGAATCGGCAAGTTGAACCCTAGGGGGGAGCCAAGGCTCAACCCCAGGGAGCTACCCACCCCGTACCGTACCCCTATGGACAAGCTCTCCATGCAAGGTCAGAGGTCAGGTTGCCCAAGATCCCCCACTAAAAGTTACATCTTGCGGGTGAAATTCGGAAATCCAGCCACTCAATCAACTAAAAGAAAACTTAAAAAGCCAAGGAACCGTTTGGATGGCTGACAAAACAAACTTGTGGGGTGAAATTCGGAACTCCCGGCCACCCTTCCGCCCAAAAAAAACCCACGCGACACCTCAGGAACCAGATGGCTTTCCGCCCAAAATATACCGCAAAAAAAAAAAAAAAAACACAAAGAACAAAAAACTAAGGGACCCCTTGGCAATGGGTCCCTTATTTGTTTGGTTCTTTGTGGTTTTTTTTGTTTGCGGTGGATGGCTGGTTGAGCCAAGGCCAGGGGCCCCCCTCAGGCCCTCCGAGGAGGCCCTCCTGAGAGCCAAGGGACGAGGCCTGCGGCCGGCCCAGCGGCTTCGCCAGGCGCTCCGTCAGCTTCCTCCGTCGAATCGAACTGCTGCGCTTCGTTCCAAGGCCCTGCACTTTTCACATTTCGAGTGGCCCTAACCTCAGTGGAAGGTGACAACTCCTTATATGTCTCATGGTCATGGTTCCCATGACGGGAATCATTGTACTTGCTCACTTGTCTCTTAGGGACCTGGAAATAGAAGGTGATCACCTTTTGGGACCTTTACTAAAAATTGGACACCAAAATGGGAAAACTTTAAAAGGTCAAAAGGTCGATTCGCTTTGGGCAAGTGAGTAACCTTTCAGCGGGAACAAAAACTCACACATGCATATGTTTGGATCACTGGCGTGGGTTCTGGGGGATTCCCATAAAGGAAGCCACCAGTTGAATGGCTTTTTCTTCGGGGGTCATTCCATGTCTCATTCCCCGAGAGTCAGGATGGCCTTCTTGGTGTTCAACCAACCTAGGTATGCATGCTTGTGTTGTATCCATGATCTATAAGAAGGCCATCACCCCAGTTGCAGGAGTTGCAACCGTGGTGAAGTGACCTACTTACCTGACGTTGGCATGCCATCCAAGGGCCGATTCGCGGGTCGAATCGGCTTTAAAGTTCGGAATGGTCTTCTCGAAAAGAATGAAGTCCGAAATAGAATCTCAGGGAGCTGATTTGGCAAACCCTAAATTTGGATACCCTCAACTCCCTTCACTCACTGCTCTCTTCCAACTGCCGGGAAGGGGGGGGAAACGGTTTCCCAGTTCAGGACCTTCCTGGGCGAAAGGTCTCGTTTCCAAATGCAGGTGAGATGGCAAAAAAGGGGTGTGCCTTGTTTTAGGAATCCGTCGTGTCGTTGGTCTCCGTTTTCCCTCCGAAACAGGGTGCACCGCAAAAAAAAAAAAACATTTGAATATGGCTGCAGGAAAAGCGTCATGAAGCCGGCGATGACGAGCGGGTAGGCTGTCTGCAGGAGATTGATGCCAACTGGTGAGAAGTGTAGGTCCTGGAGTTGGGGCCGGGCCCTTGCCACATACCTCTACTGATAAAGCGCCTCTTTGTCAAAGAAGCAAACCCATCAACATGCAAGTACAGACACTTGTTTTTTACAAATCTGCCTCTCACTTGCTGACCTTCTTCGTCAAACAAACAAACCTACCAACATGCAACAAATGCCCCAAAAAACTGAAAAATGAATAAAGCAAATACATGATATATCACCATGCATATGCATGCATTTGTGCCACCCTGGGTACAGTGGTTGTGGATGCGCGCAGGCGTGTTAAATTATGTGCCCTCGTCACAACCAAATCCACGGGCTGTGAACAGCGAGCACCCAAAAAGGCAAGAAACGACCAGCGCACATGCGGTGTCAGCAAGCAAGCAAGCAAGCAAGCAAGCAAGCAAGCAAGCAAGCAAGCAAGCAAGCAAGCAAGCAAGCAAGCAAGCAAGCCAAGCAAGCAAGCAAGCAAGCAAGCAAGCAAGCAAGCAAGCAAGCAAGCAAGCAAGCAAGCAAGCAAGCAAGCAAGCAAGCAAGCAAGCAAGCAAGCAAGCAAGCACAAGCAAGCAAGCAAGCAAGCAAGCAAGCAAGCAGCCAAGCACAAGCAAACAAGCAGCACAACCAACGCAAACAAACAAAGCTAAGCAAGCAAGGAAGCAAGCAAGCAAGGAAGCAAGGAAGCAAGGAAGCAAGGAAGCAAGGAAGCAAGGAAGCAAGGAAGCAAGGAAGCAAGCAAGCAAGCAAGCAAGCAAGCAAGCAAGCAAGCAAGCAAGCAAGCAAGCAAGCAAGGAAGCAAGCAAGCAAGCAAGCAAGCAAGCAAGCAAGCAAGCAAGCAAGCAAGCAAGCAAAGCAAGCAAGCAAGCAAGCAAGCAAGCAAGCAAGCAAGCAAGCAAGCAAGCAAGCAAGCAAGCAAGCAAGCAAGCAAGCAAGCAAGCAAGCAAGCAAGCAAGCAAGCAAGCACAAGCCTGCTGAAAGCAAAACAGCAAAACGACAAGCCAAACACCGACATAGACACACACATGTCTGCTCGAACTTCTCCCATTCAATTCCTGGCAAGGAATCCCCGAGCCTCAGGAACCTTTCAGGCGGTTCGCTCCGTTTCTTGCTTGCCCGAAACAACAGGGGTCAAGAGAAATGTCCCCTCCAAAACTCGGTTGCTTTCTGCTCCCCTGCTAAAAGTTTAACTTTTAGTGGCTTAATACGGAAAACCCACTAGTCGGCGAAAAGCTCAAGTCCTAACATCCAACCAACATGCACCTCTGACGAGTTGATCATGCTGGTGAAATCATCGCCACTCGCTGGAGGTTCCAAGAAGGAACAAGGAGGAACCCCTGCAAGTTGGAAGCCTGCACCCATCCAACTAACATGGCACCTCTGAGAAAGAAACCTGGCACCTGAGATTCCTCTTGTGGGACTCAGTTGCCATGGGAGGGAGGGTTTGCCCGAAATGGCCACCAGTTCCGAGAGCTCTGGGAGAAGCTCCGCTCGACCGATCCGGCGCCCTGCCCTTGATCCGGTGCCAACGGGTCCGCGGTGCCAACGGGTAACTTGCGCAAGTCCCCTGAACAAAGTCAAACAACTATTTCCAGTGGTGAAACCGATTCCCCCCAAAAAAAACGATAACATATTCTGCAACGCAAATGGAAGACTGAGTGGATTGGTAACAAACAGGTCCAAACCTTCTGTTTACCCCGAACATGGCATTCCCAAACCCAACAGTCCTCAGGTCCGAAACGGAACTCGTTTCGAGCAAGAGGCGAAAACTGAGAGTGGCCTGGATAAAGAAGAGGTTGAAGAACTTCACGGTCATGCCTGCACCGATGCATGTGATGAAGTCCGCCAGCGCTAGCAGCACCTGATCGGCGAACATCGGGCCCCTCCCTGCATTCCAATGGTTGTCAAGGCCCCCCCCCCCCCACAATAATGGCCAATTCCTCAATCCCAATATCGGCTAATAGCGACTACTAGTGGGGACCTAATAGCCTATTAGGGTGTAGTAGGTCCGCTCTTTCAATCACCCCAAGCGGAAAGTCACTTGAGTTGTAATCAAAACCTCGTACCGAAATTGTGAACCCAAACGCGGCTGCACCCATTTCTGGTTGGGACTCGCCCCTACTCATCTTGAACTACCCGGGTTTTGATTGCGGCTCACATCAAATTGGAAACCAAAAGCGGATGTTCGCACCGGCGGAATACAGGGAACCCTGCACAACCCGCAAAAAGCAAGATGTATGGGGAGGATTTGGGAGTGGACGGCCGCTTTCCATACATTAAGTGAGAATGAGCATGTTGCTTGTGTATTTGATTCATGACTCATGTGTGTTTGCTGGCAAATACCCCGTTTGAAAACATCCCTCCTGTGATCAATGAGCTGTACAAAAGGGAGAGTGGTCAAATCTTAACCCAAAACTCCGGTAGAGAGGTTAGAATAAGGGTACCCCTTTTTTCTGTAGTCTATTTTAAATAGGGGAACCCTCCCCCAAAAAAAGGGGTGAGAAAGGGCGCTACTGGCGGACCTAGTTGCACCTTGCAAAATGAGCAGCCCGGAAGGGGGCAACAACTGTGGAGGCTTCCTTGCCCCCATAGGCAGCATGAAGTTGATGATCTTTTGCTCTAGACAGGAATGCGCATGTAGAAAAAATAGATGTCACTATTCCTTCGACGCCCGCGAGATGAGGGGGGCGGGGGGGGAGTCGTGTCATCTACTACGGCCCAGCGGTCAGCCGCTTTATGCACCAACTCGTGAACCTGATTGAATCACCATGAGCGTCTCTGTTGCTGTTGTCAGGGAAGGGCTGATTTGGGTGGGGGGGCGTCCAAAGGAAACAAAGGGCACCTTGTTTTTCTGGAGGGCACCTTGTTCAGGTTGGTTTAAAGGGAAACCAAAAGGACATCACTCATGTTGGTTCCGGCTCCCCGATTTTGGCACATGCCCAAATGAAAAGGCAAGCACGTCTCTGTGTTGCTTGGAAGCCAAGCTTTGGGCATATTGTCAAAGGAAACAAATGGGTGTGTCAAAACAAGAGACCCCTCAAATGCGCGGTTTCCCGTTGAGCTTCCTTTTCAACTACAACTAGGTCCTCCAGTAGAGAGGTTAGAATAAGGGTACCATTTTTTTTCTCCGGTAGTCTATTTTAGTAGGGGAACCCTCCCCCAAAAAAGGGGCTACTGGGGGACCTAGACAAAAACTCGGTGCCCCCAAAACCACAGACCCAATTGGATACACGAAAAGTGCCCCTTTTCGAATGCGATGAACAGGTTTGCTGCCAGCCCCCTTGCATTGGCTTAAGCCACCTGGAAGAAAATCATTTTCCAGCAGTGATAGATTCCCATTAACACCCACAGGGGAACAGGGAACATAACACAATCTCTTAGGCAAATGGAAGTAAATCATTCTTGTGGCAACATCTTTTATGGAATTCCCATATTTCCAGGGCAAATGCGTTTAAACAATAACATTAAAATAACATAAAATAACATAAAGTATGGAATCCCCATATGTCCAACGGGATTTAAAAATAAAAGAAGAAAAAACACATAGTAAGCAAAGTTGGAAGCCCCACTCCCCCAGTACCACGGCCAGTTACCCCGAGCTCTTTCCGGGGCGCTGGGACATGCCTCGCGCCCAAGCAGCCCAGCCGCAACTCGGAGCGGACTGGGACTGCCGTCGCCTGCGAGACGAAGCCGTCGACTGAGCGTGCCCTCCCATCAGACCACCGGGTGCTGTTAATCTCAGCTGGGGTTGATGAGCTTGGGGTGAACATTGGCCATCAAAAAAGGAAATTCGGAGGAATTCTTCTGAGACTAGGTCCTCCAGATTTGAGAGGTTAGCATAGGGGTACCAACGATTTTTCTGCAGTCTATTTTAGTAGAACCCTCCCCCAAAAAAAGTTGAGAAAGCGCACGATCCTGGGGGACCTAGTTAACAGGAACTTGACATGGGGACCCGATAAAGGGGACCCCTGTCAAGTTCCATGTTCATTGGTGGGTATGTTTTCTGGTTCACCGCTCGTGCCAAACGCCACTGGCAAGTCTGGCTTTTTGCCCCAGGCTCAGCTACCGCAAGAATTCCGCAGCGTGAACTTCTTGGGTGGGCCTGGGCCATTTTGCGCCTGACGTTGGGTTTGGGGAGCAAAAATAATAATAATTTTAGCAGTTAAGTGGTTGGTTTTTTCAACCACTAAACCACAAAGAGCAACAAATGTGAAATGTTTCCCAACAACAACCACGACAGGTTGGAAGGACACTGACTGAACCCCATCATCCGGGAGGTCCCTTTGATTGACCCGTACCCAAATTGTTTCCCCCGCTTCCCTCGGGCCTCGTTGGCCGTGTCAGCATCCGGGCAAGGAGAGGCGTGCGGCTCTTGCTTCGGGTCTTTGAAGACGAAGAGGGGGAAGCAGGCGGGGATCATGAACAGAAAGCCCACCACCATCATCGTCTTGATTTCGTAGAGCTCCCATTCATCCCCTGAATGCACGTGTTCGAAGGTGAATTTGGCCGGGCGCGGGAAGCGCATCGAACAAGAATGGCAACGGCGACAAACTGGCCTTGGACGCCCTAAGCATGGGGGACTCACATTTGGGATGATGCTGAAGAACACAAAGGCCAGGTCCTGCAATAGAGAGGTGAACATAAGGGTACCAAATCTTTTTTCTGTAGCCTATTTTAGTAGGGGGTTCACCCTCCCAACCAAAAAAAGGGGTAAAAGAGCACTACCCAAATAAGGGCAAAGGCTGTAAGCCCCCCCATGCCCAACAAAAAGAAGGCACAATCCCCCCAAAAAGGGGTGAAGGGCGCTACTGGGGGACATAGAATCAAAGGAGTTCGATGATTTGGTTTCGCCCCCGCTGTTTGGGACCGGCCAATTGCTTGACACTCCCTGGTTGACAAGCTTGCCCTTGCCAGTTCCACTGGATATCTTCCATTTGCTTTGTTCGCCCCCTGGGAAAAAATGACGTGTTTCCAGCAAACACCAACAGGATCGATTCCTTTTAAAACCAACAGGGGAAAAGTATGCTTAAACAAATGGAAGATATCCTCACTTCCTTCGGCCAACCGCTTCGGAAAAATAGATGGGTTTCCCTGGTAGATGGGGCATAAACCCCATCTAAACCAGGGCAATCTATGTTTTAAGCAAACCAACCAAAAAGGACACCTATGGCCTCAACTGTTTACCACTAAAACAGTCCAACCAAACAAACGAGTGACATCCCCCTGCCACACGCAAAACTTGCGAACATCTCGGATAGCGTGCAGTCCTCGAAGTCACCAGGTGGCTGAAAGGGAAACGATTCATTGGAACCTCTCAAAATGTGATAGTATTGTGGTTTGCTTTGCGGGGGTGCTGCCTGTGGAAGGGTGGGGCGAACCCCGTTTTCAAATAATTTCCCCTCACGTTTCAACTCTTGACCACGCCGTCGCGCGGGCAATCGACCAGATCACAAGCATTTAATTTAAAGCCCTCTTTTTTTGGTTGAAGAGGGCTGCACGGGGGCCGCAAAAAGTAGCAAAAGTCGACCAGGCGAGTAACCCTGCAGAGGGTCGCTATTCCCGATCGAGTTCAAAGAGTAGTTTACACTTGTCGGGCTCTACTGGTTTTCTTTGACACGCGAAGTCACTAGACGTACTTCTCTAGCCAATACCGCAGGAAGACTCTCGGGTAACTTGCTTAACCGACCTCTTACGCAACTTGCTCTAGCAAGCTCTGATGTAGCTCGCTGGGATACCGGGCTCAAGCAATGTAACTTTTCCAGCGCAACTTGAATTGCGCAATCGGCTGCAAAAAAGCACCTGAAGTTGGCTTTCATTGGTACAATTAAGACCACATTTGGTTACCCTCCCCTTCCCCAAAAAAGGTAGCCTGAAAAAGGAATTAAAAGAACCATCAACAGGAACACCGACGTGTGGAAACTCGAAAAAGGGAAAGGTCATTACCTCCCCCCCAAAAGCAGGAGAATCTCAAAAAGCATTCCTCCCACCTTGGCCCATTTTCCCGACACGCGCTGCAAAGGAAATCAAAACTAGGTCCTCCAGCAGAGAGGTTCGAACAAGGGTACCCATTTTTTCTGTCGTCTAATTTAGTAGGGGAACCCTCCTAACCCAAAAAAAAATGTAAAAAGGCACTACTGGAAGACCTGGAAAACAACACAAACACAAAAAAACGGAAAGGGGCTCATCTGTGCCCACATTTTCGGCTCATCTCCGCCCACACAGAAGTGACTCATCTGCGCCCACATTTTCTGACTCATGTGCGCCCACAAATGCTTTCGCGAATACTTAGAAGTTGACCCTTTGCAATAAAGGGTCAGTTTTAGGATCATCTGCGACCACACTTTGGGCTCATCCCTGCCCACAGAGAGTTTTATGTTTTTTGGGTGTAGGGTCATTACGGTTTATGTTTTTAGGGTTTAGGGTTTTTAGGGCTAAGGGTTTTTAGGGTTTAGGGTTTTCAGGGTTTAGGATCTTTGTTGATTAGGGTGTTTAAGGGTTTAGGGTTTAGGGTTTTTAGGGTTTAGGGCTTTTAGGGTTTAGGGTTTTTAGGGTTTAGGGTCTTAAGGTTTAGGGTTTTTAGGGTTTAGGGTCTTCAGGGTTTAGGATCTTCAGTGTTTAGGGTTTTTAGGGTTTAGGGTTTTTAGGGTTTAGGGTTTTTAGGGTTTAGGATCTTCAGTGTTTAGGGTTTTTAGGGTTTAGGGTTTCTAGGGTTTATGGTTTTTAGGGTTTGAGGTCTTCAGGGTTTAGGATCTTCCGTGTTTAGGGTTTTTAGGGTTAAGGGCTTTTAGGGTTTAGGGTCTTCAGGGTTTAGGATCTTCAGTGTTTAGGGTTTTTAGGGTTAAGGGTTTTTAGGGTTTAGGGATTTGAGGGTTTAGGGTCTTCAGGGTTTAGGATCTTCAGTGTTCAGGGTTTTTAGGGTTGAGGGTTTTTAGGGGTTAGGGTTTTTAGGGTTTAGGGATTTTAGGGTTTAGGGTCTTCGGGGTTTAGGATATTCAGTGTTTAGGGTTTTAGGGTTAAGGGTTTTTAGGGTTTAGGGTTTTTAGGGTTTAGGGTTTTTAGGGTTTAGGGGTTTCAGGGTTTAGGATCTTCAGTGTTTAGGGTTTTTAGGCGTTAAGGGTTTTTAGGGTTTAGGGTTTTTAGGGTTTAGGAGTTTTAGGGTTTAGGGTCTTCAGGGTTTAGGATCTTCAGTGTTTAGGGTTTTTAGGGTTAAGGGTTTTCAGGGTTTAGGGTTTTTAGGGTTTAGGGGTTTTAGGGTTTAGGGTCTTCAGGGTTTAGGATCTTCAGTGTTTAGGGTTTTTAGGGTTAAGGGTTTTCAGGGTTTAGGGTTTTTAGGGTTTAGGGATTTTAGGGTTTAGGGTCTTCAGGGTTTAGGATCTTCAGTGTTTAGGGTTTTTAGGGTTAAGGGTTTTTAGGGTTTAGGGTTTTTAGGGCTTAGGGTTTTTTTGGGTTGAGGGGTTTCAGGGTTTAGGATCTTTAGTGTTTAGGGTTTTTAGGGTTTAGGGTTTTTAGGGTTTAGGATCTTCAGTGTTTAAGGATTTTAGGGTTTAGGTTTTTTAAGGGTTGAGTTTTTTTTGGGTTGAGGGTTTTTAGGGTTTAGGGTTCAGGTTGGACGGTGGGCCACTCTCCGCAGCCCATTTCTTCATCGCCTGGACTACGTCCTCTTTTGACCAAGGCGGGCCATCGTGCGCCTTCAGAAACTTCGCGGGCGCGCTTCAAAAATACCCTGTCAGGAACCCTGCTAGCACAAAACACATACCATCTGCAAACAAGAATGAAACCCACAGCTAATGGCAAAGCTTGATCTGGTCAAAAAATACAAATAAAAGCCCCAGATGCTCTGCTCAACATGTCCCGTAGGGGCGGAAGAGTGTCTGCCGGCACGGCTTCTGGTGCAGCTGCTGGTGCAGCAGCTGGGCGTCGGAGCGTTGCAGCTGGTGGTGCAGCTGCTGGTCGGAGCGCCGCTGCTGGACGTTTCATGTCAAACTCTACACTCCTTCACCACACATGGCTTGAGCATGGCACTGAAAGCAAACAAGATACAAAACACGCAAATGCCGCACCGTACCGCACGTGACCCATAGTAGACACCTATGGCAGTTTCTCAGAATATTCTCTAAGAGCTGCAAAGGTTGAAAAGCCCTAAGATCATCTGCGCCCACACAATACTTGTGAGTACTGCATTTGTGAAGTTTAGAGC